TTTCTGTTTTTTCTATAGATCAACATTTTGGCACATTTTACCTTCTTTAGTATTGAAAATACAGTTTTGTAAGACTGCACATTTAAACCGGCACCTGTAATCTCTTCTTTGAGCATTTATTTATTCAGGTCTGTGCTTGAAGGGGAATTTCTTCAAGTCTGAGTATTTCGTTTTCTGTTTGTAAAGTGTGTGCATTCAGATAGATGTGTCTTCATGCAAGCCAATTGTGTTGATCTCAGAGATACTGACAAAACAATTAGCATGTTGTCAACATGTCAAATGTCTGCAATTCTCTGCCCTGCAGCCTGTAAAATTATGCTTGCAGGCACAAAACATGTTTACAGATACAGATCATAATGTTCTAACTTGCCTACAGTCTCTATTTTTTTATATTAGTTATTCTCTCTATTATCCTTTTTTTTCTATGTTTAATTGAATTTAAACTTACCAAGGCAAGAAATTTGCCTTGGTAAGTTGTATGTGAAAACCTAATACTGAAACATGGTCTTATAGAAAATAAAGTTAAATAAAACTGCATTTGAATTATGCAGCTTTCCCCTCCTTTCTTTAATGTTTACCTGTGATCCAGCTTCTCACTAGAACAGGAGTGTAATTCATATTACTAATATATTAAAAATGAAATCAAATGAAATTTGCACTGTACATTAGGGGAAGTGGGCCACTGTTGAACTTTAAAAGTCAGAGGAGTACAGCACACTGATGTTGGAAAGAAGGATACGGAGACTTGACCTATAAAGATGTTATAGAATGATAAATAATTAAGTGTTTCAGTATTAACACAGTGATGTCACATTTTCTTCCTGTTCTACTCGGTCCTCATTTTTTGCTGGTCCCATTAGTTTTGTTTTTATAAAATCAATAAACTCCGTAAGGTTGCTACGGATGATAAAACTCACGGTTCAGATTGTATCACCGTCACAGATTGGACCATGGCTGCACATATTTCTGAGAAATAAGCATCATAATGATCTATTTCAACAACAACAACTATGCCCAGTTTCCCAGTTACAACATTAGTCACAACCTACAGAGGTTTAACCCCCCCCACACACACACACAAAAAAAAAAGACCTACAGTGTCCTGCTTCTACTGGATCCCACAAGATTCAAGGTTTTAGCTTCTGGTTGAATCCACCAGGCGAAAAAACAGCTCTTTGACAAAACTGATTACTGAAAAGTAACATGTGGATATTTATGTTTTTACAAATACAATTCTGGATTTTACATAGCTAAAAAATGTCTTTGCAATTATTTTATGATAAAGCAAATGCACTAGGCATTTAATATAATATTCATAGGTATGTTTTCATTTGTGTATAATCACTTGAAAATAAGAATTGTTTTTTGTTACCTTAGAATGAGCTGTTTTCTACAGAGGGAATGGGTCCTCTTCAGCAGAGGCCACCATGTCGAACTGCCATGTTTCTACAGTAGCCGAGAACAGACAAACCAAACACTGGCACTAGATAGCACCTTTTTTCCCCGCTATGTGCCATTAAATTGTACACACAGGTACTTTAAAGCAACATTTTTGAAGTTCTCTTTACACACCAACAGACATCAATAAATCAAAACCTCAGGAGAAAGTTATCTTGTTCTAGTTACCTACTGACTGCCCAGACTTACCTTTTGTTCTTCAACAGCTTTTAGAAGATGATTATAGTTTATTTTAACTATATGTAATGGTAATTACTAATTGATATTACACTAAAGTATTTCCCTTTTTCCCTCTTAAGTTTAAACATTGTTGCTTGGAACATAAAAGTTAAAGATACTGACAGTAGCGGGGGTGGCTAACTCATATGGGTTTGTTCCCATATGGAAATGTGGTTTCTACGTATACTGCGGAGTAATGAGAGAGACAGGACGAGAGAGGGAGATAAGCTTTCCACTCGGCTGGAGGGACTAAAGGCCTCAGCGATGTTGATGTAAACTGTGGCTGACACTTTGCCTCAGGGAACAGCTGGATCTGAGACTGACAGACAGGTCTGAACCCGGCCAGGTGCCGCTTGGCCGAGCCACGATCAAGTGACAAACCTTCATCTGAGGCTGAGGACAAAACAGGACTACAGGACATGCCTGGTTAGAAAGTACAATGTACCAGACACACGTATAATTTCACAGATCTTAGTCTCTCAACAGCACTAATAAACAAGGTATTGCTTAGTATAAATGAGAACACTTCAATCAACAGTAGGAAAATAATAATAAAAATCACCACCACTTGTATCTATCCATGTGGATAGATTTGAGTAGTATTTTTTCAGTAGAAAATAAACTGCATACAGCAATCTTCATTGTGGGATTTTTAATTGTCATTTTTCAATGCCTCCATTAAATTGGGAAAGATGTATAAATGACATGTATTAAAAAACCTGGGAAACTAAAGCCTAAAGTATTTGTAGAACTAGACACAAATTAGGGGGATTTAGGATGGACTTTGTGCGATTCAGCCCTTTAACATCTCCTGACTCAACAAGTCTAATTCCCTGCAAGAAGCCCCCAGAGGCTGCAGTGTTCATTACACCCAATTAAAGACTGATGGATGGTACAAACGGCATTCACAGACATCTTGCTCTTAATCAAAATATTGGACAGTAAGATGGGCAGACTAATGGGCCAACAACATCACCATCCATAAAGCTGCAGAGACAACACATGCTGAAATTAGCCAGAAGATAACGAATCATTTCATTCCTAATTATGTTCTCATTATGATCATTAAGGTTTACATTATGATTTATAATATGTACCCTAATCAGGTTCTCATTATGATGGGGGTATTTTGTTAGTTATATGCACCCGAAATGATGTTAACTGATATAGAACTTGCTGTGGTCAACACACAGAAGGCAAATAAGAGGATTATGGATAAGTGAACCTTAGATCAGCCCATCTGATCTAACACCAAATCCACAAGCCATAATTATGCATACGCATGCAGGATACAATACAAAGCATTCCACAACAATGACACATAAAAAGGGAACATCCTTATCAGCTATATGCTTTATGCATAATTGCCAGGAAATAGAAAACTTCAGGGTGCCGTCACACCTAATCCATTTGTTCGGTTCGTTTAGACGAACTAAACAACCAGAACAAGATCACCTGAAAAGTTGGGTTTCCAAGCATACTCTGGTGCCATTCATTTATATCATGTGAAAGCAAAGCAGACCATGTGTGGTAGTAGATATGTGTTTTTGGCATGAAATTAAAAGGATAAACTAATATCCATGTGCTGATTGTGAACTGTTTAGAAGGCAATCTCTCGATCTGTATTGCAATATAAAGGCTACATTTATACCACATAATTTTGTACCATTGTAACAATTCTGCACATCACCATGTGAACCAGTGGATTTCCCAGATATATCATCAAGTGAAAAGAAGTTAAACAGACCTATGTTGAGCTTCTGTCTTACTCCATGTATTTAAGCATACCATAATAGGGACAATGATAATAATCCTCCTGTAATATTAGAATCTAAATGGCCCATTTCTGTCTGTTTGTCCCTATTACTGAATGTAAGATCCAGTTCTAGTCTGGACTAATACTCATAATCACTTATCTCTTATCAGGTTTAGTGAAGTGTTGCTAAACCTGGTCAGTGACCAGAATTTGATTCTCTCTCTCCCTCCCTCTGTGGGTACATCATTGGTAAATGGTAAATGGATCTGTACTTGTATAGCACCTTTCTAATCTTCCAACCACTCAAAGCGCTTTTACACTGCGTGCCACATTCACCCTTTCACACACATTCACTCAGTGACGGCAAAGTCCATCGAACAGAAACACACATTCACACACCGATGCATCGGGAGCAATTTGGGGTTCAGTATCTTGCTCAAGGATACTTTGACATGTGGCACCAGGAGCCGGGGATCGAACCCACAACCTTCTGATTAAGGAACGACCCGCTCTGCCTCTGAGCCACAGCCGCCATTGATAGTAGGACAGAGCTTCCGGGTCTGTAAAGTGAAGCTGACGCCAAAGTGTCTTAAACATGCATTCTAAGTAATGGCCAGCAGGGGACAGCTCAGTTGGCTGCAATAAAAAACACCTTTAGAGTTTAAAGTCCGTCCAGTGCAATGCACGAAACACAGAACCGTCAAACTAGGCAGTGCTGATCAAATATGAATCAAGATTGTGTTATTGCGTTGACTATTTCTCACCTAAAATCATTTCACAAACATATTTATACTGTTTATCTGGAATATGAGAATGTGTGTGACTAGTCAAAACCTATGGACGAGTCAAAACTGCACAGCCAATGAGCGCAGATCAACTCGCAGTCGCAACGACCATAATGCCAAACTCAACGCATCCAAATGGTACTTCACAAACCAATAGGTGATGATAGGTTTACACTTGAGGTACATATAGCACTGATGATGCAGGATGACATGCCCAATCAATGAGTTGCCTTCAGTCCATATGACTTTATGTTTACCCATCCTGGTTAATTTGTAAAAAAGACAGCATAAACACTGATCAGAACTGAATGCACATTTCCAAGTATGGTGCTGAAATGTTAAGAAAACTAAACAAAAGGCCACAGAGCAAGAGCAAAGCCACTGATTTTCCACAAGCCACATACATAGGAACACTGACAGAAATACGTTCTTCTCACCTTGATGCAGATATCGACCTCATTGCTCAGCTATGTGTGCAGGTGTCATTTTAAGTACTTGTGTCTAGGTCAGAAAGATGTGGAAGAAGAAGACAAGCACTTTATTTGAAGTATAACAACGCCTTTAGGATTAGGGGTTAGTGTCCGATTAGGTGTACTGGTGCAGAAGTCATGGCATCGACAGGGCTTACCCTGACAACAAAACAAAACATCATTGATCATGAACATAAACTGATCAGTTACACCTTCTCTTCTTCTCCTGCTGGCAAGTCAGCATACCCACACATGGGTCTTAAGGGGACACAGCTCTTTTAACACTGCATATACCTGCTCTGTCTCTCTCAGGAGTACACCGTAGATGTTTTCTTCCGTCAGAGTTGGAAGGATGAGCGATTGAAGTTCCATGGACCAATGAACATTTTGCCTCTTAACAACCTGATGGCCAGTAAGATCTGGACCCCTGACACCTTCTTCCATAATGGCAAGAAATCTGTGGCCCACAACATGACCATGCCCAACAAGCTGCTGAGGATCATGGAGGATGGAACCTTGCTCTACACTATGAGGTAGCTGGTTTTATCATTTTTCCAAGTGATAATATAATATGTTTAATCATCCAGTTTTTACAGCTGCATATTCATATTCTGTGTCACCTGTATAGTGGGATAATCATTGGATAGGAAACCCTGGTTTTGTTTTAACTGGTTTTAATCACATCTGCAAAATATGTCCCTCCATGCTTTTTGAACTGCTCCAGCATGGACCAGGGTGTGGAATGTCGGCTGGTAGCTGGAGAGGTGCTAGTTCATCTCCTGGTCACTGCTGTATCCTTGAGCAAGGCACAGAACCCCTAATGCTTGGACTATATGATGGCCCCATTACTCTGGCATCTCACCATAAAGTAATGCATGTCTATACAGTAGGTCCTGTGTGTGCATAAATCCGTATTTCGGGCCTGTGTGTGTGTACTGAAAAATAACAACAAAGTGTAAAAATGTAATTTTTCTATTCACTAAATAGATATTGACTAAATAGATCTGTACCAACACAGCAACAACTTATTTTTACTACAAGTTTTTGTTTTAGCTAGATTGACATTTTTGACACTACTTACATTTATCCTCTAAGACAGATGACACGATCAGAACTCTTCACAAACTATTTTCACCCATTGAAAAAAGACAAACAGCAGTTTATGTGACTTGGCAGCCATCACTTCAGGAACCTCACCATAGAGTCGGTCAACTTGTTTGTGATATGAAGGTGACAGTGAGTGTTTCTTTAGTGTACTTTGATATGTGCATGGTTTTAAACCATGCAATAACTATTATTTTGGCAGTGGAATCAATTTGTGACCACAACATTGATATATCATTACCTTTTTCATTTGATATGGCCAACTTTTTATCAGTGTCTTATTTGCACATCTAGCAGTTAGGGATGTCCCAAGAACCGACACTTTCGGTACCAATTGTAAGTAAAATTTGGAAAACTTTGAGTACTCATTTTTCTACAGTACTGTAGGTACTGAGGATGCAATTCTTCCGAACCTGACGGCGCATTATATAGGCTACAAATACTCTAGTCGCCCATTAAATGTCAGGACAGGAACACATCAAAGACAATGACAAGTGCAACTGTACAGGTGATTTACTCGCAAAAAACTTTAGTGCACAATGCTCCGTCCTCAACTCCGTTAGTGTCTCTGTACTAAGTGTGTGTACAGGAGCTCAGTCCCGGCCGCACTGAAACACCGCTGCAGGCGGGGCTGAACTGCTGGTTAGAGGCAAGACAGACAGCGTTGAGCGTCGCCACACACTCTCCACGTCTCGAACAAAAAGCAAATAAGAGTATATATACATTAGTTATTAATGTAATCCAGGCATGTACAGACGAGGACAATAAACAGTAGAATCCAGTTCATTCAGGTCACTCAGGTAAAGGCTGCACTGAAGCAACAACACATTAAAGAGAGAGAAAAAGTGACAAGGCAAGTGACTATTGTATAGCCTGCTTTGATTATTAGTTATTTAGTATTATATAAATATATGCATATATACAGTATACATATATAATAGGCTATATTAATATTAATAGTATAAAAAGATTAAGGAACAGCTTGGTTGCAGGGATTTTTTTTTTCTTAATGCAACGCAGAGCTATTTACCTGTTTTATTGAGGAAAATACAAGTATTGGACTCAGATATTAAATAAGGATCAGGGGCAAAAAAAACTTGATTGGGACATTTTTACCGTGGTATCGAACTGGTATTGTGAAAAGTGGAATTTCACTGGTATTGGTATGGACTACTAATATTCTAGTATTGTGACTATCTAACATTCACTCTTAGCTCTGTCTCTGTGGAACATTTGGCAGTTAGAGAGACATATTTTTCTCAGGAGTTGGTAGAAACAATGTTCACCAGCTAGTTGCTAACTTTGTCTTTCTGCTGTATGAGTTCCACAAAGCTTCAAGTTTCAGGTCAGATTGGGGCCTACTGTATTTGTTGCATATAGTACTTTGGACTTGGTTTGGGATCTGTCACTGTGCCAATCTTCTGCATCCAAGTAGATGTTACAAGAAGGTACACAGTGTCCAGTGGAAATAGAGTGTCCACAATGTGTACATTACTCTAGCATGGTGAGCTATTGGTTGTTAATGGATGAAATAAAGAAACAGGTCTAAAAGTCTACAGCTACGTACCTCTGCCCAGGGATGTCACCATGCTATCAAGTTAACAATGACAATGCTAAGATGCTGATGTTCTGGTGATAATATCATTAGTTTTGCAGGTATTTGGTGATAAACAAAAGTACAAATTAATGTTTGGAGCAACCTAGTCCCTCTCCAAAGTCAGAGAAGTCAGTCAACTACTGCAGCTCGGTCAGTGGCCCTCCGCTTTAAAATATGACGCTGTAGGAATCCCTCTTGCATCATTTCTGAACATGCCCTCCGTCAAAGTCAGGTGACATAGTATAAAGAGCAAAAAAGTCTGCACATGGAGGAGGTGGGGGTGGATGGATGGCTCAAACAAACTCAGGAGACTGCTTAAGTTACGTACTTAAGTTACATCAGCTGTGTTACGTAATCTTTTCTTAAACCATCCAAGTTGTTTTTGGGCCTGAACCTAATCAAACTTTAACTGTTGCATTTTTATTGCTAACTTGCCCTGTGCATGCAGAAATTATGCACCTACAGCATCATGCCTGGAAGCCACTAATCAATTGGCATATTTTAAGTTGGGACTGAAAATGTGTTCTTTTGACATTTTGTTTTGAAATCAGAGGATCACAAGTTTCATAAAGGTTCATCTTAAAATAAGATTAAGTTGAGATATTCCCATCAGGACCAGAGTGGTGTAGCGACTGACATTGCCAGTGTGCAGTTTCAGCAAGGTCAGGTCAGGTCAAAGACACTTGATTCACAAAACAAAGCCCATAATCTTAAATAATATTTATATAGCCAATAAAACTGTTGAGTTGCTAGTTCTATTCTGCCTTATAAATTACATTTACTCCCTTATGTGGACAGTCACTTCCGTAAAAGCTGGGTGGCCACAATAACAACACAATGACTAAGATTTACAGTCAGCGAAGTGGCTTGGATAATAAAGGGCATTTAAAAACAAAGCAGAGGTGCCCTTTCCAGGGTCTTCAAATAGAACATACCCAAAATCAATAGTGCACAGCAAGCATCTTACCTCACATTTAATGACAACAATATCAGTAGACCTCGCAGCTGTATCAAACTCTCAGTTTGTGATTAATAATCTCATTATCTACAGATAACAACTGGTGGTCATAACGGTAACATTATATATAGGTTCTGTCATTCTTGCTCTGTACCCTGTTGGAAAACCTTGAGCTCTCAAGAAACATAATGACACATTTTATTCATAAAACCAAGATTTCATTTGAAAATGCAATCATTATCTTGGAATCATTATGTGTTTAAAAATGAAAGATGAACACCATCCATTATGTTTGTAAGATAATTAGGTTGTGATGTAGAGAAAATAAGAGCTTCCACGCAACACCAAACAGAAAAGAAAATGTGTTTTGTTCTCTATAAGGATTTAATTCAACAAATGTATAATGTGTGTGTTTATTGCCAGGCTAACGGTTCAAGCTGAGTGCCCAATGCACCTGGAAGACTTCCCCATGGACTCGCACTCATGTCCTCTCAAGTTTGGCAGCTGTAAGTGTGAACATATTCACATCATCATCAATACTACACATTCTCTTTCAACAACCCAACCTTGGCATAATTTTAAGCATGAAGGATATGTTCACTATTTAAAAGACTGCAGTAAAATGTTGCTTATAGCTTTTTTCAAAATGTACAACATTTATTTTGCCTCCCAAATGCTCAAAGGTAATTAAAAAATAAATAAATAAATAAAAATAAATAAAAAAATAAAATAAAATATATATATATATACAAAGTAGGCATTAGAGCGGGAAATAATAAAATATAGAAATGTCCCATGTCACCTGCCTGGAAAATTGAGTTTTGTAAAATATAGTAAAGCCTCTTTTGCATACTAGCATCTGGTTTTTCTGCCCAGAATGACAGATCATTCTTTTTAAACTGATTGTCAATAATGAGTTACATATCATCAATATTCTACTGTGTAAAGAAACACCAATAGAGTCACAGTTGGTGGCACTGTAACATGTTTGTTACATAATATAATCAAGTTTTAAGTTTCTTTATGTAATGTCCACAACAATCACACTGAAGCAGTCACTGACAGTGAAATTCTTGTTCTCAGGCTCCTCAAACAGTGCATGTATAAAAGAAAATGAAGCAAGTAAATGAAAAATGAGAAAAAGAGAAATCTAAGACCTAAATAGTGCAGTAGTTAAAATATAGAAATACATTTATAAAACAGAATAAGATGAAATAAAATAGTGCTGGGTGAGATACTGGATGAACTGGTATAATAGTATTGAATACCCCTATGATGTTAATTTTTCATATACCACCATACTCGTTCACAGCTGAAACAGCTGTTGTAACTCATGTGTTTCTTCCTTGTGCAATAAACCATTTGAGAGATATCTATTTAGTATTTTAAAAAAGTTTGTTTTGAAAAGGAAGCAATGTTAAAGTTGTCGTTGCAAATTGCATACCTTTCTTACTAAAGGTTAGAACTTGGAAACCCTGTAGTAATCCAAGCCTTTAGTATATACATGGTGACAGTAAAGGTTTTTATATTCAATATATACTTGACAGTAGAATATATTTAAGTAGAAGATCTTACCACCAAGCACTAATATAAAATATGATACTTTGGTAGCCTGGTGTACAGTATAAAAGGAATAAACTGTAATGTAGACAAGTTGTGTAGTAATGTAGCAGATTTATACCAACCAGTAATCAACAGGTAGAACATACATTTCTTTAATCTTAAGTGTAAGTAAGATTAAAGCTGCAGTAGGTAACTTTTATGAAAATAACTTTTTGTCATATTTGCTGAAACTTTCACTATATCAGACAATAGTCTATATCCTGACAGTAGAACATGAGACAGAATATCAGGTTCCTCTGGCTCCTCCTAGTGCTCCTAATGGCATTTGCAAGAATCCACCTGAATGAAAACAACCAATCAGAGCCAAGAAAGATATAAAGACGCTTTGGGTTAGAAGCCTGAAGATGGTTGATTGTTGATTCTCATTCCCGGCATTGGTATTTGACCTTGGGGATAAGCTCAACAATCAACTATCTTTCTTGGCTCTGATTGGTTGTTTTTGTTCTGGCCCAGTGGATCTTTCCAAATGCCATTAGGAGCACTAGGAGCAGCCAGAGGAACCTGATTTTTTCACAGATTATCTGTCTCATGTACTACTGTCAGGATATAATCAGTCCACCTCTAAAGCATCAGTTCTGACAAACTAATCGCAATAGACAGGCATGTCTTCTATTTTGTGCAACTTCCCCAATGGATGCAGCCTTAAGGAATACAATTTAAAAATGATATTTATAAAACAACAATGAGCAATTACATTTCTCAAAACTGAAGCTCAAGTTGTTTTTTATTCAGGCATAAAACAACTTCACTCACACTCTGACACAACATCTAAATAATAAACGATTAAGGTCTGGGTTGAAAAAGAGTCAACCTATTATTTAACACTAAAAGTTGCTGTCTACACGAACCACACGATAGTCTTCATGAAGTGATAAGATTGATTCTCTGTGTGGGAGTAATTATACCTCTGTTGGTGTCAGGCTATGCAGGGGAGGTGATCTCTGTAATTTGAACCCTAATAAGGAGCTCTGGTGTGTTGGGATTTGCAGGATTGGGTTTGTTGATCAATGTATCCTTGCTCTCTCTGCACCAGATGCCTACACAAAGACAGAGGTTACTTACATCTGGACTCGGAATGCCTCCCAGTCAGTGGATGTGGCAGCTGATGGATCCAGACTCAACCAGTACGACTTGGTGGGCCAGACTGTGGGGAAGGAGACAATTAAATCCAGCACTGGTGAGCATCATACACTCATTTCAAGTCAGACAAGCAGCAGAGACACTAAGAAGAATACCAGTGTCTGGACAAATAAAATGTTTTTTGCACTTTGTACTGGGTTAAAGGCAAAATACACAACAGCCAGACTTCCATGTTCAGGTTTGCTCAACTGCAGTTGCCAGCAATATATAGAGAAATAGTTTACTATACAGCCCAAAATAAGATACAGATATAATACATTCAGGGCCATTTCTGCTACCATTTTGGTAGCTGGACATCCACAGCCCCTTTTTTATCAGTTAATAAATAAATGTATAATATATTTTTTTCAATACTACTGTTAGTCATGGAGTTTCACAAGGTTCTGTACTTGGACCAATACTATTTACTTTATATATGCTCCCTTTAGGCAACATTATTAGGAATCACTACATTAACTTTGACTGTTATGCAGATGATACGCAGTTATATCTATCGATCAAGCCTGATGAAATTAATCAATTATCTAAATTACAAACATGTCTTAAGGACATAAAATCCTGGATGAGCTGCAATTTTCTGATATTAAACTCTAAAAAGTGAAATTATTGTACTTGGCCCCAAAAATCTTAGAGGCTCACTGTCTAAAGATATAGTTACCCTAGATGGTATTACCTTGGCCTCTAGCACCACTGTCAGAAATCTTGGAGTTATCTTTGATCAGGATTTGTCATTTAATTCCCACATAAAGCAGACCTCTAGGACTGCCTTCTTTCATTTACCTAATATTACAAAAATTAGACACATACTATCACAGACAGATGCAGAAAAACTAATCCATGCATTTGTTACTTCTAGGCTGGATTACTGCTGCAATTCTTTATTATCAGGTTGCCCCAATAAGTCCATTAAAAGGCTCCAATTAATTCAAAATGCTGCAGCACGAGTACTGACAGGAACTAGAAAAAGAGATCCCATCTCTCCTGTATTAGCTTCTCTGCACTGGCTCCCTGTAAAATTTATAATAGAATTTAAAACTCTCCTCCTCACCTATAAAGCTCTTCATGGTATGGCCCCTTCATATCTTAAAGAGCTCATAGTACCCTATTACCCCTCTAGAACACTACGTTCTCTGAATGCAGGGCTACTTGTGGTTCCTATAGTCTCTAAAAGTAGAACAGGAGCCAGAGCCTTCAGTTACCAAGCTCCTCTGCTGTGGAACAGGATACTGGTGGAGCCTCCTGCCATGGTCCTGCTTGACTGCCATTGCCAATATCACTGATATTAGTGTTGTTATTATTATAAGTGTTATTATAGCTATGGTTACTGTTGTTGCTGTTGTCACTGCTCATTGTCCCCCATCGTTGCTGTTGTCATGTTCATCATCATCAGTCACTACTATTAGTGTAGTTGTTGCTACTTTTGTTGCTGTGCACCCGTCTGTCTGTCTGTCTGTCTGTCTGTCTCTCTCTCTCTCTCTCTCTCTCACCCCAACTGGTTGAGACAGACGACCACCCACCTACAGCCGAAGGGTCTGTCCTAGGTTTCTGCCTTTTAACAGGCAGTTTTTCCTTGCCTTTGTCGCCAAGGTCTTGCTCATGGTGGTACTGTTGGGTCTCTGTAAATAATGTTATAAAGAGTTCGGTCAGACCTGCTCTATTTTGGAAAGTGTCCTGAGATAACTTCTGTTATGAATTGGCGCTATACAAATAAAATTGAATTGAATTGAATTTTACTATTTTAATTTTGATTTTAATCAACTTCACTTCCACTCTGGTTTGTTATCAACACCATCTGTCAATTACTGCCTTTTAAAAGTCCAGTGTGTAACATTTAGGAGGATATGTTGACAGAAATGGAATATAATATTCATAGGTATGTTTTCATTAGTGTTTAATTGAACTTCTTGTCCTCAGGTGAATACACCGTCATGACGGCTCACTTCCATCTGAAGAGGAAGATCGGCTACTTTGTGATCCAGACGTATCTGCCCTGCATCATGACGGTCATCCTCTCCCAGGTCTCCTTCTGGCTCAATCGAGAGTCTGTGCCCGCCAGGACTGTCTTTGGTGAGTTTCTTTTATGTTTTAAACACTTTCCACACTTCCACAGAGAAAATAGATTCATACACATGCACGATGATGTGGAAAGTTTAAGTTAATTAACATTAATAGCATAACATTACGTAGCTAATTTGCAAGCTAGCTACCTTGTTTACCTGGCATATAAGTTGGCAAAGTATTGTGATATCATTCATTGTCGCTGATTTTTAAATGTGACTTTTTGTGGTGTTCATAATAATAATCATTATGTCAGTCATACTGGAAACTGAAATGAGAGGAGCAGAGTGTGGCAGGATGTAAAAAAAGTGAATGCACATGCACGTTAACTAGAAAGGAGGAAGGTATATTTTACTTAAGTACAACAATGTAAAGATACTCCATTACTCCTGTCTCTGTGCTCTACGACGTAGGGTGTTAGAGTGGTCTAACTGTATTAGTTTAATGGTTTAATGGTTATCAAAAAAAATAATAATAATATTAAAGTTCCTCGGGCACCACCCTTAAATAAGGGAACGATAACCAATAATTGATTGATCAGTCTCATAAAAATTACACTAAACTATTAATTCAGAAGTCAGATTAATAATTAAATTAATAATGACAACCAAAGTCATTAATAATAGCTAGAGTGAGAGCTTTGGAGTTCTACATAGAAGAGGTTGGTATCACTCACTCTTGTACGAAATTAAATAGGCCAGCATATGTAAACACAAACATTTATTAACCAGATATAATAAAAGCAAACAGAGGAAAAATACACAATATACAATCTAACTTAAGAAAAAAAAAGGAGTGTGTGTGTGTGTGTGTGTGTGTGTGTGTGTGTGTGTGTGTGTGCATAGGGGCGTCATAAAAGGTTTATGGCCTCTGACCAGAGGTTCCAGGATGTGGAACACGTGCTGGTGAGAGACAGAGATAGAAGAAGCGGGAGGGTTTGAATCCCTCTCCACATGTAGACCAAATATGTGTGTGTATGATTTTTAGATTCACGGTGCCTTAAGGGAGTTGGTGTATGCAAAGACGATGTCTGTGTGAAGCATTAAACTAAAATCACCTCAGCACTGTCTCAAAGACTACAGTTACTACAGTAACCTCAGTTAATCAAATCAACATCACAATACCACAGTAACCTGAATAAAACACATCAGCAACATTAACAATAATTAGCCGTTAACTCTGTTAAGTTGTCTGTCTATGCCCAGTACGTGGTCCAGCCAGGCTGATCAGAATTGTGGTTCTGAAGTCCAAACAGTCTGCTGTGCGATGTCCGCTGGTGCAAGTATCGCAGGAAAAAGCAGGCCTTTGTGCCGTGCTATAATCCTATTGTCGTGCGTCGTCGGTGGGTCAGGCCGCACCGAGGTCCAGAACTTATCACCCGGGGGGGTGTGAGCGAGTTGAAGGAAGATGAGAAGAGAAGGAGAAGAGATCATCTCTCTGGCTTAAATAGCCGTGATGACAGGTCTGGTGTCCAAAGATCTCTGACCAATGATGGGCCTGTGTTTGGTCGTTTATGACTTATAAAACACACCCTGGCATTCCAGGACCCCCACTTGAGGTCTGTTATCTGGCGGGCGTGTTCCCTTTGTCTAAAAGACTACAACAATCAGGCTTTTACTGGTACATACAGGCCTCAGGAGTTTCTGAGCACATGGTCGGATTCCAACATGTCCCTTTGTGTTTCAGTTGAACACTTCAAATGAACAAGTTCATATTTAGGGGTATCCTTGGATCCCAACACTCCATTAGCTCCCAACACTCCCAGTGAAAGAAAACTGCATTTCAAATCTTATTAAGTAAAAGTACACAAGTAAATGTACTTAAGAGTATCAAAGTAAACATACTTATTATGCAAAATATCCCTGTTTAGAAAGTTATATTTTTCATAAATTCTTAAATACTATTTTATTGATATTTACATGTAAGCATAAGTTTTTAATATGAATATTATTTAATTTAATACTAATATTAACGATGAAGCTCTACTTTTGGTTTTATATTATAGTTTTTTAGTTTTTGAGGGGCTTGGCAGAGTGACACCATGCAGCAGAGAGAGAGGTGGAAGGTTTTGCATGTTTGAACTGCCAACACTGTGAAACAAACTGAATTTTGTAAGGTAAAAAAACATTCTTGATCAAGTAGCTTATTTGCACTGAGAAAATAAAATACCTAGTAAAAAGTACATAATCAGGAATGTTTCTGTAACTTGCAAAACTAAATTAATGTAACTTAAAATTACTAGTGAAAGCTGCTTAATCATTTTATAAAAAAAAAATAATTTTAAGAACTGAATTCAAATGGAATTTTAAATCAACTAAATAAAATCGAATTAAAAAGAAACGCTTTCCAACTGGCATAGCAACTAAATACCATAATGCCATCATATCAAAAATGACATCAACTGTTGTCAAAAAGATGTTATAAAAGAAAAAAGAAAGTAAGTTTGGCATGTTATATTATTCCAAACTCGTTTGGTATACATTAATTTATTGTGTTTTGGGCCTTTAACTTGGAATACCAGCAAAATTGCCACTGTTGAAACAGAAAAGCACAAAGAGCCCAAACGGTAACTCTCACCCGAACCTTCGGGGCTTGTTTGCGGCGCTTGTTTGCGGCGCAGACTGTAAACTGAGTGTTCATGCTGACAGGTGAACATTTTATCAGGCCACTGCAGGCAGGCCACCAGATGGGGGTCATGCCTGCAATGAGGTCTCGCCCTGCTTATCTGCCGGAGGACACAGGACCCACACCCACACTCTGATTTCCCGTTTGGTAAAATGTCAGGGACCTGTCTGGGGCTAATATAATGCTCTCTTTCCATTTATCCACTGAAGTATAATACACATTAATAAACACAGTCATTATCTGTTGTGACAAACAGGGCAAAGAAGAAAGGTTGTCTTGAAAGGCATTTTGTGACCTAGTAAAGGAGTTCTTGGTGACAGAGATATCTGCTTCCTGGTTCATAAATAGCCTACGCAAGATCAGAAAACCACCGTCTGATAACTTAAAGTCCCCTCCAGTCAGAAATCAGTGTTTCTTCTTGTTCCTACAGTGTACTGTTTGAATGCTGTATGTGCAGAGTTTGACACTAGAAGGATGTTTTTACATTCATCTGCTGAAAGTGGAAAAGGAGGGCCCCTAAGAGTGGTCAGAAAATCAACAAGCATTCACATGTTCTTCAGAAAATGATTCTGTCTTTTATTAAGTATACAAGTAACTTAAGCTTACAACAAAGACTTTGTACTCTACATTCTGTCATATTATATAATACATTAGTGCGGTTAAAAATTGTTTGCACACCACGCCTCCCAATCATGTAACATGATCAGACACCAGATCATCATAATTAACATAATTAACAATAGTTAATCTGCAAAATGTCCCCTAAATGACTTTTATGAGGCAATTTATACATTTAAACAAGCATAAGAAGCCATAAACTTTAAAGTTCTTGATAATTGTCAAGTGTCCATTGTTTCCGTTTAAAAAAAAAAGGCCTTCAGAGTTTCCATAGTTTTTTAGAGAGTTTAGAGTTCATAAAATGTTCAAATTTCAGCATTCAAAAGTTCAACAAAGGATTCTTTTTTTTCTCTCAAGAATCAAGAGTATTATTTTTTTATAATATATATATGTGTACAGAAATGTTATTATAATTATAACATTATAATAAGCTGACATACTTTCATCTGTACTGTACGCAAGCTGAGTCATGCCACTTAGGCTGTTTACAGATTCCCTACATTCATTGGTGTTAGAACTGTGTGTGAACCCGCGTCACCCATTGGTTTGTGGTGTACCATTTTGATGCCTTGAGTTTGGCATTATGGCCATGATCATGTTGTGTTTTATGGAGCCAGCAGCGCTGACATACTGTGAGTTGATCTACGCTCAGTGGCTGCTCGTAGTTTCGGTTTGTCCATAGCAGGAAACAATGGCAGCTCACCCTGTTACACACATTCTCATATTCCAGACAAACAGTACAATTTCTGAAAATATTTTAGGTGAAAAATAGGCAACGCACTAACAGAATGTTGATCCATATAGCTGATCAGCACTGCCTGTCTTTGACGGTTTGATCTGAGTTTGGTGCGTTGAGCTGGACGGACTCACTGAGAACGAGCTGTCAATCATAAGATAGCCACGCCCTAAAGCATACCCTGCTTTATCGTCTATTTTACTGTAAATGGGACCAAAGTTTCCTAAGTGAACATGCTGTATTGAAGAAGACTGAAACTAGAGATTGAGAACATAAACTCATTAGGAAAATGTTTACTGAGCGAATGAATCAAGTGAGAACTCGCCTCATTTCTCTATTAGACTCCATACTATCAGACTTCTTGTTTGCAGCCAATGGAGCTCTCCCCTGCTGGCCATTACATAGAGTGCAAGTTTAAGACACTTCCACTTTGAGTTCATTTCACAGACCCGAAAGCTCTGTCCACCATTAATTATATACTGTTTCACTATACACACAAGGGCCCAAGGCAAATGGTAGCTCTCAGGGTTCAAAAAAAGAAATAAAATCCTTCTCAGTGAAACTGTACTCTTTTCATTTTTCAGTCATAACTAGTCCATGAGAAATTTGACGTTGAACAAATTGTAGCCCATTTATAGCACTGGACACTGACTTTCAATCTTTTTTTCAAACTGAACTGTAGTCACATCATGAGCTAACCAGCTAACACCAGCTACAGTTAGGGGCAAGTTAGTGGTTACTTTAATAACAAGTAAGGCTATCTGTTCATCAGGAAAGAGCAGACGGAGGACATCAAAGGGAAGACCAGAGAATATTTAGCTTTCTTTCACAACTGAGAAAACTTTCTGCGACCTCCAGAAACGACATGTTCATATACTGAGCAACACTGTAACATTATGAGAGAAATTAAGGGAAAGCATAATATGTCCCCTTCAAAATAAATCTCATTCTGTTTTTTTGTAGATAGTTCTGTGCTCGCCAAGATAGCTTTAATACGACTCCCCTGGCCCAGTTGGCAGGGGAAGGGAATAAAAAGATGTCTCCACCTCATTCCTGAAGTGCCACTCAGCAAGGAAATTAATCTGCAACTGCTTCTTACAACATCAAAGAAACGCATGGCAGAAGCCATTTTACTGTAGCAAGTTTAAAATTTGTATTGCAGCTAACGGTCAGGGTATGATCCATGGCAGACTGGGATTTTAGTGCTGTTAAGGAGCACAACACCACCATCATAATGGGACATAATTCATTACATCATCCCTGCACTAAATACCGGCTGAAATTAATGAGACTAATGTTTGGTATTTGTTAAGGCTGTTGGGTATGATTTGGATTCAGTTCCTTTCCATTCGTTTGGATGCTTTTGTATATGACTTACATCATGAGGTGTCAATTTTAAAAAGTCGGTTTGTTGTCAGGTGTCTATGTATCTTGACATGGGGACTAAATGACAAAGTGCCCTAGTAGTCTGTTTTAAATATTCCCAGTTTCATAGGAAAAGGGCACCGATAGCAACATCAACCAGCTTCTCCTCCTGATTACCTGCTGCTTTATTACTTTATAGTTTCACAAACCTAGTGCAATCCCAGTGCCTACTCTTGAGAAAGCCCTTACAATGCTGTAAACAAGACAATAACCTTGTTGTTTCTATTCCTCCTACACTCTGCTATTTCAAGAAAATTAGGAAAGGTTTGAGTCAGAGGCGTTTCCAGACTTTTCTGACTGGGCTGGCACAAGAGGGGCACTGATTTATGCAGGGGTTGCATGAAGATGTGTCTAAGCTTTCCAGTCATTCCTAATGTATGCAATTCTAATACTGTTTAGGGACCCCAATATGCTGACATTTTCAAATACATTAGCTGGAAATAACACATTTATACCACAAATAAAAAAACAGCATGGTTTATGCCCCAAAACAGCATGGGATTAGCCTAAAGTGGGCATGTCTGCAAAAGGGAGACCCATGGGTACCCATAGAACCAATTTGTGTTCAGATATCTTGAGGTCAGAGGTCAAGGGATCCCTTTGAAAATAGTTATACCAGTTTTTCACCCATGGAGCATTATTTAACCGCCTTCCCGACATGCTAGCATGACATGGTACCAATGGATGCATTAGGTCATCTAGTTCTATATGATACCAGTATCTTCACTCTAGCTCTAATAGGAGCCTGCTACGGCCTCTGAAAGACAATACAAATGGACAATCCCCCTCGACATGCCCCTGGAGGATGGAACAATATGTGATGAGGATATTGTGCGTGCAAACTTGTGGCTAGAAGGATGTACTAGAGGCTCTTGGAGTGTGCAAAACAGAAACTGAGATAAAAATGAATCACAAAGCCATTCACTCCATTAAAAATTAGACAAGGCATGCATCTCAAAGCATACACACCTTTGTACATAAATGAAGACAAATATTACAAAAACAATGCACATGTTGACTTTTCAGGATGAAATATGGAAGAAGTTTGTGTGTGCATGGTTTTACACGCCTGTGTGTGTGTGTGTGTGTGTGTGTGTGTGTGTGTGTGTGTGTGTGTGTGTGTGTGTGTGTGTGTGTGTGTGTGTGTGTGTGTGTGTGTGTGTGTGCAACATCAAAAGGAAAGAACATTATCCTCTTACTGTGGGTAGTGACGTGTTCACTGTGTGATAGAGAGCTTTAAAATATGACCTGCAGCACGAATAGAATGTACGTGCCAGTGTGCATGTGTGTGCTTATATATTAATGGTCACATGTCATATCCACACTTTTGGCCTACACTGATGAGCATCACGAAGTCATCCCACTAATTTATGTTTCTCTTTTCAACCATTGACACCTCTAGTTTCTTATTAAGACTTAAGGTCCAGTGTGAAAACATTTAGGAGGATCTATTGGCAGAAAAGGAATATAACATTTATAAGTATCCATAACTGTTAGTGTATAACCACCTGAATATAGGAATCATTGTGTTTTTGTTAACTTAGAATCTGCCATTTTTATCTACAGATGGCGCGGGTTGCCTTCTGTCGAGATAGCCATGTTTCTGCACTAGCTCAAAACGGAAAATTGGCTTTAGAAAGGGTCATTTGCATTTTACATGTGTTTCAGAGTCACCATAGTTTCTCTTTTGTACTTGGAACGGAAGGGTGAACAACTTATTTTTTCAGTTCAATTCAATTTCAAGTCAAATTTTATTTGTATAGCGCCAATTCATAACAGAAGTTATCTCAGGACACTTTTCATTTATGTACAAAGGTGTGTATGCTTTGAGATGCATGCCTTGTCTAATTTTTAATGGAGTGAATGGCTTTGTGATTCATTTTTATCTCAGTTTCTGTTTTGCACACTCCAAGAGCCTCTAGTACATCCTTCTAGCCACAAGTTTGCACGCACAATATCCTCATCACATATTGTTCCATCCTCCAGGGGCATGTCGAGGGGGATTGTCCAGATCCTCCTTATGAAATGATTTACAGAGACCCAACAGTTCCCACCATGAGTAAGCATTTGGCGACAGCGGCAAGGAAAAACTTCCTTTTAAAGAGGCAGAAACATTGAGTAGACCCTGGCTCTAGGACTTCAGACTTGACAAATGTCCTCCATGTCCAAATGTCCTTCTCATTTTTCCTTATGACACGAAAAGTTGTGACACGTTTCTATTTTTTTTTTTATTATGAAATTTCCATCTCATGCCAGAAGCAAAACATAATGCAGGTATTTTTGGACAACTATGTGTACTTGCAAACATCTGCATCTTGTGATTTACCACCCTGTGTACTTATTTCCTCTCCCAGTGCGCCTGCTGTTCTGAAATCAGGCCATAAAAAACACCTGGCATATGGGATGTGTGTTCTGACAATCAATCATTCAGTGGCCATCAGGGATTCTAAATTATTTGGAAAATTATTTGCCTGAGGGAGTCAGGGTGACAGGTTTAGTATCAGTATGTGAATGTTTTATCAAAAGAGTTAAAGCCTTCCTCTACTGTTTGCCTTTTACTAAATATATTCTCTGATACTGATTTTTTTTTTCCTATATGCTTTTGCCCTCTCTTTTCAGGTGTGACTACGGTTCTCACAATGACAACCCTGAGTATTAGTGCCCGTAATTCACTGCCCAAGGTGGCCTATGCTACTGCCATGGATTGGTTCATCGCTGTCTGCTATGCCTTCGTCTTCTCTGCACTCATTGAATTTGCTACTGTTAACTACTTCACCAAGCGGGGCTGGGCCTGGGATGGAAAGAGCATTGTCAATGACAAGGTAGAACCTCACACACCTAGAAAGACCTTTACAGGATCAGTCACTGTGTATGGAGTTATTTCTACTAACAGAGACCCTTCTTCATCCGTTGGTAATGCTAGACTATAGAGGGGAGAAGTAAATCAACGACCTGTATAAAAATAGGCAAACTTAGTTTTACAGGACTGCAAGTACAGCCCAGTGGTAATACACTGAGTGATCAGAACAAGTAAAGCAGACCATGTAGTCAAATGCTGTGGATTCCTTGCATTTAACAGTTCTGTTGTGGCTGCTGTTCAGTTAATGCTCTCTAATGAACTGATACAGCTACCTTAAAATCTCATATAAAAGCAGGTATTCAAATGATGAATTTCATTGACAGACCGAAGCTAGTCGAAGCGGAAGTCTATGGCTTCAAGTATTGCCTTCTCTTGTTGTCTGGTTTACGGTCATTGAAATAGATCATAAAAATGTGCCTCTTGGTTATAGTTAAATGGCACATTTACAGTAATGTTGATAAATAGGCATTGACCATGTAAAAAGTACAAGTATGCAATATTTCTGCCCATTCTCAAAACCTTGCATGCACCACAAAATTAATTGGGCTTGGTAAAGCACTAGTTTATTTCAAAAGTTTTCTAACATGGAGCCATTTTCCCTGCAGAAAAAGGAAGCGTCCATCATGAAGAAGAACAACGCCTATGCTGTAGCTGTGGCTAACTACGCTCCAAACATCACAAAAGACTCCACGCTGCCCACAATCTCCAAATGTGCTCTGAGCGATCCCAACAAGACCATGGGAGAGACGAAGCCCGAGCAGAACAAGAAAACTTTTAATAGCGTTAGTAAGATCGACCGCATCTCCCGCATCATGTTCCCTGTGCTCTTTGGGAGCTTTAACCTGGTCTACTGGGCCACCTACCTGAACAGAGAACCAGTCATTAAAGACCTGGATCCTTCCAAATGAACTGTAAAGACTCCAGACACACAGCCCATTCAGGACTTCTACATCTGTTGGTATTAATTTTTGTCAGTGAGAAGCTGTTGATGTGTATGGAGAATTCCCTTCTCTGTTGCTGACTACAGTTTTGGATTGTTGTAGGTAAACATCGTAACTGGGTTAAAATACACTTAAGAGCTTATATTACAGAAGTAAGCCAGACATCTTTACCAGGTTAACAGGATATTTTAAGTTCCAGCAGCCCTTACTGAGAGAAAAGGAAACCTCAGTGCTGTGCATCAGTGTTGGTCACACATTTTTGGAAACATATTGCATTCTCACTGCATTCAAAAGAAAAAAGAGAAAAGACATTTCCTCCTAATCATGGCTTCCAAATTTTATAATTATGACAGGATGTAGTGATATAAGAAAACAAAACTAGAAAATGATCAGTGTTTAAAGCTGCACTAATCAATATTTTTATATTGACAATTAAGGATGAGCAAGTACATCATTATCTCTGTTCTGTTCAACCAACTACATTTGTACGCCTATATGGAATGTGCAGTGCTTAAACTGAACGTAGGTCGTGCTTAAACTGGAAGTAAGCCTGAAATTGATATGGGTTGATCGGAAGTTGCTATATTTATCAGAAAAATGCTTTCCAAACGATAATAAGAGAACTATTTACAGTATGGATATTGACACATTTCACCCCGATGATGGTCGTAAAAAGTACATTATCTGTACTGGATACTCGTACTTACTCAACCCTGGTCACACACAATCTCGTATTCAAGCTAAACAGTAAACTAAACTTTAACTTACTTTACTTACACGGTAGCATAATGAGGGCCCCTACCTGTAAACCGAAGCATTGAGAACTTTGTAAGTGTACAGACAGTTTATTAAAAAGATAGTTTTGAACAACAGTAGCGTTCACGTATACAGGCGGAGAGATGAGATGTGAAGTGAATCTCGCGTGAAACGTTGTTGCCGGAAGAAAGCACTGAACGCAACAGAGACTAGTGCTTCCACAGGATACACACTAAAGAGATGGCGGATTATTCGAATTTGAAGACATCGACAACGAGTGCTTCTTTAATGTGCTCAGTGCTTTCTTCCGGGCAAAGGGACAAACTGTCTGTACACTTACAAAGTTCTCAATGCTTTGGTTTACAGGTAGGGCCCCTCATTATGCTACCGTGTAAGTGTGGTCCTATTTTGAGTCTTGTTAGTGGTATAGAAATAGCGATTTCTTTTCACTTTACTCTGTTGCCCCATTGACTAGCGTTATAAGGTAATTAGCGGTTTGTGCTAAAGCTGGTCACATTCGATTATCATGAAAACATATCCCAGAGAACGGACCAACTCGGTACACTTGTGTTATTAACCGCCAGGTTCATTTTGCGCCGGAATTGTCCTTTAAATATGTACTTAAAGGTCCAGAGTGTAGGATTTAGTGGCATCTAGTGGTGTGCTTGCAGATGGCAACTCCATTGCTTGACCCTCCCCTTCCAACCACAAACAGTATAAACTACAATGGCAGCAAAACATGCGATAATCGCCATCTACAGTAAGTGGTTGGTATGTCTGGGCTACTGTAGAAACATGGTTCAACATGGTGGACTCCATGGAAGGTGACCTATGGTGTCAGTAGATATAAAAGGCTCATTGTTGTTAAAGGTAACAATAACATAATGCAACATTTAACTGTCATGTTCAAACTTTCCTTTATCTTGAGCACTTTTAGGACTTCCTTGACAACTGCTCCACCCAGTTAAATCTTTGCTACGGTGCTGGAACCCTCAAAAAGTGATATATTGCATGGATCTGAGTTTGCTGGAATCTTTACTATCAGTTAGGACTCCCTTGACTTCAAAGTAAATGAAGTGTCAAGCTTGGTTATGAAGTTAACATTGTCCTCATCAGTCTCCACTCTATTTGCTGTGCAAAAGAATACTCCTTCCTGCTCTGGTATACATATGGTTTTTATTGCTGTATCAACCAACAACCAATGCTGTCACACTGTATTTTCTGGAGAGAACATCAACAAGCTGGCAGGAGGTAAATTTCAAAAAAGTGTAATTTCCTTTAACACAGTCCATAATCAACAGCAATAACAGTAATTATCTGAGGATCCTTTTCTCATAAATCTGTGACAATTTTCATATAATTGTAAGATGTAACACTGATGGAAGTCATAATAACAAGAAAAGGTCTCAAATTGTATTTTACCATGCCAAAACGCTTATGAATCTTTGTTTCTCTGCTAATATTTTATTGCACTTAAATTAGTTTTAGGCTCTCTTGACAGTTTCATCATTAATAAACTTCTATATTCAAGAGGCAGTAGGGAATTGAGAAGCAATGAGTCAGCACCACTCAGTCTGAAAATACAGCACTGTTGGGTGTCATCATCAGAACACTAAACATCAACCAAACCCTCCCCACTGTTATCTGATTGCTCCTCAGTCAATTCACAGCGAACAATTATCTCTGGGCAAAAACAATGAGTTTGCAGGAAGTAGTCTGGTCTAGTCTGTAGTCTGGGCTAGGAGGTTGTCACATTAACATCTATACTGTACCACATCAGAATATTTGCTGAGAACTTGCTCCTCCAGGGCTACACAGTGCTTTGTGGCTCACTCTGTAGCTTTTTGTACAGCTTTTTTCCACTCTGCTTCCTTCACCAAACGGACTGTGTCACACTGTGGAAGATTCATTCTGACTGGATACAAATGGTTGACAATATGTGTATGAAAAAAAAAATGTCTTCAAGTGTCTGTGTTTATTTAAATTAATTTTTGTTTTATTGTAATCTTTTTATATACAATGTAGCAGGAACAAAGGACCTATACATATTTAAAAGTCTCAACTACCCCTTAGAAGAGGACACTGTGTCGATAATACTGCATTCATTGAATTTTGTGTAGTCTGTGTGAAATATTTTAAAATTGTTTTTTCTGCCAAAAATATTTGTTATATACATTTCTTATATAAATATATGTATATAAACCCTGTGCTTTGTTTAACACACTTTTCCACTTAGATATCTTTTAGATAAGAAATTGTTCTAGAGATCAATATTTTTTTCCTTCTTGCACACTTTGACCCTGTTTGTGTTCATTTAATTGTTCGAGCGAAGAAGCTCTTCCTGATTCATATGACCACTAATACAAACTTGTGATATTCACTGAACACAAATCTCAGTGTTTTCCTGTTTTTAGCTGGGCAAAAATAAAAATTAAAACAAGGAGAAAAAATTCTCTAGAAGGTTACATATATGAGACTTTAAACAATAATAAAGCAGCAAACAACTATCATCTATATAAAGATACAGTGGTGTTATAGTGTCACTCTGTGCTGCTATTGCATCCTCTCTGTGGTTTGTTTAAATAGCCGGCCCGGCCCCTCATGCATCTTAATGTGAGCACTACATCAAGGATGTGCTGAACTCTGGCATTTAGAAATCTACTGCAACACAGAAGCGACCTTCAGAGAGTTACTAAATAATGTTTCAAGATAGTTATCTGAGGTATACTAAGCCAACTAAAGACATGTCCCTACTTTCACGCCCACTTGGCAATGGCTGTGATGTGCACACCACAGATTTTATATCTACATTACCCACATTATGCATACAGTGGAATATGTGTTTTTTATTCTGTTTGGTGTTTCATTCTATTTGCAAAAGTTTTGTTAATGAACAGAAATTGAGAAATGGAGGGATAAGCTTGGCGGAGTGACACAGTTTTACGTTAACTCTCATTTTACTTTTTCTTTTGACTTATGTTTTATAGTATCATGTGAAATCATTGCAGCATACATATTCAGCCCAGGTTATGCTGAAACATTACTTTTCTTAAATTTGCTTTACAGTAATGAATTTGTACACGTTTATATATTAAGAGTCAAGGCTCCAGAAGAGGAGAAAATGACTCAGACCCCAGCGGGTTAAAATGGCATGCAAGGTAAAATTACCGTTTTTGTCTACAGTGTCTAGTGGAGAGTGATAGTGATATTATGGCTGTTTCTGGTTAAACAAAAGGTCTGTCTCTGTAGGGATCCTTCCCAAAATGTTGTCAGACACTTAGAAGAAAGAAGAACTTTTAGTAGTTGTACTTTGTTGGTGTATTTGTCACCATGGATTGGCTAACATTACATGGCAGCCACATTGTCCTGTTTTGTGGCTATTTTCTAATTTAACTCAAATTAAGGGTTTAGTTTGACCAAAGCGTTTCTGTCCAGTTTGAAGTGTGTTTTACAATTATCTGCGAGGTAAAATTACTGGTTTTGACAATATAGTCTGGTTGGCTGTATCGCCCATTGTTTTCATCCGAGATGCTGGTGCTTGAGTGCAACATCCAGTGGCAAGTAAATTTCATACATATAAACTAACATCACTATCTTTACACTTTGTTGCTGCTGGGGCTAAAATCTTGCACTGTGCAGGTTTACTCCATACAAAGGTGCCCATATATCCTTAATACACACATACACAGTCAGCAGACCACGAGGCATCCAAATCCTTATAGTGCGTAGATCCACAGCATTGCTGAGAGTGGAGTCCTGCTGAATGGCGAGTGCTGCTGAAGAGGCTATAATCAGGTCCAGCACAGCATCCACAGCACATCAGCACATTTACCCTTCTCTCTGCCCACCTCCCTTTGATCTGCACCACCGTCACCTTATCCCTACTGCTGGCCAGCCTTTCACTGGGCCCATTTACTCTAAAACTCAATCCCCACAAGCTTTGCACACATCAGCTATGGATAAAAAATAAAGACTGACAAAATATATGTGATCATATTCTCAATGAGCACCAGTTGGGATTTCAACGTTGATTTCTAGTTGAAAACTGGGTGATATTCAGTCTGACTGTCCTCTTTTCAACCAAATACAAATTTGTTAAATCATTTTGATAATTTATTCAGTTGTAAGGTGCCAGAGAGACAATACGGTTTTGGTATTTCTCATATTTTATAGGTAGGTAAAATGTGGTCTACAGGAAGACATCAATTCAACTCAAACGTACAATATGCAGTTTCTGCCACTGGGGTGTCTCACATCAAAATATCAAAAGACGAAGTCTGATGATGAGGTGAAGTAGCATGGGTTCACAGGAGTTGTGCTCTTCACCACCATTGCCGTCATTGCAGTCAGCTTCTCCCAGTTAGGATTCCTTCAGTGTTCATGGTTCAGGAGGTTTCTACCGGGAGCCCAATGATCCACAGAGATCTCCTCCTCTCCAAAACAAACAGACCCGCTGATTAAAACCACTAAAAACACTGAATAAAGCAGTCCCACCTTAAAAATAACTACCTCTCCTATGCTGTTGGGCAGACAAAGGATGTAATTTAAGATCCAGATGTCCGATGACTAAAATCCTTCATCTGGTTCAAATCTAGAGTTAAAAAGCAAAGCAAGTATATGGTAAAAATGTGGCTTCAAACTGGATAAACAGTTTTAATATGGAAATGTTACATATTACAGCTTTCATTTATTAATCAGCATTGGCCGCCCATGACCCTGTCTCTGGTTCACTGCTTTTCCTTCCTTGGACCACTTTTGATTGGTACTGACCTCTGCAGACCGGGAACACCCCACAAGAGCTGCAGGTTTGGAGATGCAATGACCAAGTCGTCTAGCCATCACAATGTGGCCCTTGTCAAAGTTGCTCAAATCCTCACTGCCCATTTTTCCTGCTTCTAACATCAACTTTGAGGACAAAATGTTCACTTGCTGCCTGATACATCCCACCCACTGACAGGAGCCATGATAACCAGATAATCATTCACTTCTCGCAATGTTATAGTTGATCGGTTTAAAATGTCATAAATACTGAACTATATCGGCTTTGTGCTATCAACAAGAAGCCTCCAGGACATCATAATGGGAGAAATTCTGTACATCAATGTCAAATAAGTATTACGACCCGGCTCGTTTTGGAGAGCAGTAACATGAAATTGGGATTGGAAATGAGATGGAATGCGACAATTGACCGGTTCAGGTTAAAATCAGGTGTGTAATTAACTAAGGACAGTGCGCTTGCACAAGGAAATGTAACAAAAAGAGGCTATACAGGTGCTGACAAATAATTAGTACACAAAATGAAGATGACTGAATGACACTAAAGAACAAAAAGAGGTCAGCACCCAAAAGCTTACAAACTAGTGAACAAAAAACAAACTAGCAGTTATTCTGCAACTTAAGAGGTCTCAAACAATGAGTGTCCAACTCTTGGTACACTATACAAACTAAACAAGTCACAAAGATTACAAAAGCACTGGCTGAAACCACTCAGACAACAGCCAGGCAATACTAAGAAATAAGCACTTTAAATTCTCTCTAAACTAGTACAAGGGTATGCAACAACAGCGAGGCGAACTGATCGATTGGTTGATTGAAGCCTCCTGATTGGTAGGTTCGGTCGAATCACAGCCACACCAATCACAGACCCCAGGGAACAGCAACCAGGAAGTAGGCGGTCTCAGCTCCAGAAGGACCAATCCTCGACAGGGAATCACACAGCTGGATTTGCATACCAGCAGAATCACTCATGAAACAACACAATGACTACACACTAAATGACAGCCAGCAGCGGTAACATGAGACATTAAACTCACTGCTAAAATGCTGTGTGAACGTACTTCGGCATATTGGTTACAGCTTCAACCAGCAACTACTCTGAAGGTATATGCACAGGGACTTGTGGCATTGCTTTAGGGTGTCAGGTAACACAGTATAAAAAGCAATAGCCAATAGTCAGGTAGAAAGATGTGACGCATGAGTGTGTTGAAGATATGACTTCCTCCAGGAGACTATGGTTCAAGATCAGTGTGAGTTGTTATGTTCTACTGGCTTTCAACTGAGGAATTTGTATTATTTTGAATGTGAAAAATCCAATGCAAATCTATATATTTGAACGTTCAAAGTGTTCAAATAGTTGGTGAAGAAACTTAGAATTTTGAACCAATTAGTGACCATAGTCATTTTTTTAAACATCTTTTCAATTGAAAAATGTTCACTAGGTCATTTCATAATTCAGTTCTTTCACACTTTTAACCAAAATTAGATTATAAAAGCTAATTATTTATGATTGTATTGTATGTTTTTTACAAACATACACACTAATAACTGCACAAACCCTTGTCATGTAAGCATGGCATTATTTCTGTCAGTATGATTCAAATCATTTAATAACACACACACACACACACACGCACACACACACACACACACACACACACAGTGAGTCTTCTGTCCTTCGGGGGAGTCTTGATCTCTGAGCTGGAGTAGCTTTCTAAGGGCCTGACCGTAGCTAGAGGCCAGAACTGTCCACCCTCATCTCAGTACTCATCACAGACTCTCCCACCGCTCTATCCCAAACACATCCGCCTCTCTCCTCTGCATCCAGGGCTGCTGCTGCCTTGGCCAGCCGGCCTGCAGCTGACAACACGTCAGGGGAACTTACACCTCAAGTGTGGCACACAAGTCAAACAGAGAGTTAGTGAGGTGTTGGCAGACTCAAGGGTTTAGCAGAGATTATTGAATTCTCATAGGCCATTTATGGGATTAACTGAATGTTTATAAGACCAATTGAAAGACCTCAATAAAGAAATAAAAGTTGATTATTCTGATTTAACTGTTGGATGAGATTTGTCCAATAGGCTTTTACCAAAAACTAAGTGTGAAAGGTCATTCTTGACTTTGTTAAATTACCCCAAAAATTCAAACAGGAAAAGGTGGGGCCGTGACTGTCTTCAGTCATGTAAAGCCATCGTAGATCAGGCCTCTGTGTGTCCTTGCCCAGCTCTTAAAAGGAATAGCTGAACATTTTCTGTAATATGCTTATTTGATTACTTACACCGATCAGCTATAACATTGTGAGCGCTGACAGGTGAAGTGTATAACACTGATTATCTGATTATCATGGCTCCTGTCAGTGGGTGGGATATATTAGGCAGCAAGTGAACATTCTGTCCTCAGAGTTGATGTTAGAAGCAGGAAAAATGGGCAGTGTGAGGATTTGAGCAACTTTGACAAGGCCCACATTGTGATGGCTAGACGACTGGGTCAGACCATCTCCAAACCTGCAGCTCTTGTGAGGTGTTCCCGGTCTGCAGTGGTCAGTACCTATCAAAAGTGGTCCAAGGAAGGAAAAGAACCGGAGACAGGGTCATGGGCAGTCAAGGCTCATTGATGCACGTGGGGAGTGAAGGCTGGCCAATGTGGTCTGATCCAACAGACGAGCTAGCTCATACTGCTGAAACAGTTAATGCTGGTTCTGATAGAACGGTGTCAGAACACACAGTGCATCACAGTTTGTTGTTATGGGGCTGCAGAACATTCTGACCACCAGGGTGCCCTGAGAAGTTATTGTAGACAAAGAAAATTTACATGAATTCTTACAGGCTGAGGTCACAGAAATCAGATATGGATGATTGCAGGCATTGGCTAATTAGAATTAAAAATGTCAGATTTAATGTGTTCTTTCATATCACATCACTAGATTACATACCCATTAATTACCTGGCTTTTGTTCTTGAACTCAACAAAGTAATTAGCACTAATGGCTTGCTCTTATCACATACTGTACCTCTGACACAATTAGCTTCTCGGTGTAAAGTGAAATGCCACCCAGCAGCACTCTGTATGCCCAGCAGCACTGCGCCACTCAGATCTAAAATATAATTACAGCTACAGCAATAGCCCGGGGGATGGAAATGCTGTTCACAATGGTTTTATCATGTATGAATAATTTACCTCTCTCACCTCTGGGCCGTCTGCGGCCCCAGTCAGCAACAAGGGACTCAGCACTGTCTGCACCCATAGCAAATACAAACACACTGTTATCTCACAATTTGATCTGATGGGAACAAAAGGGAATAATTATTTTACAACATGTGAGTAAGGCCGATTGTATCAGTTTAAAGGACCATACAGCAGTCTTAGCAAAGTTTTAGCTCCTTAATTACCAAACTTCTAAGTCAACATATCAACCTGGTCTCACCCCCTATTTGTCAGATACTGCTGCTTGGTCAGTAGCCCTCCACTTCAGACTATCATGCTGTGGAGAAAGTCCACATATGGAGATGGTGGGGTGGATGGATGGCTTAAACAAAGGACTTTAACCCAGGAGATCAATGTTGGTGCCCTTTGTGAAACCAAAAGTAAACAATGTCTAAGTAATGTACATACGTTAAGTCAGGTACGTAACGTAATTTACAACCTTTTCGTAATCCTAAACAAGTAGTTCTTGTAAACCCTAACCAAACTCAACTGTTTCACGCACTGGTGGACCCCCATGGTAGATATGACTCTGGGGTACCGACAACCAGGAGTTGGCAATGATACGTATTTCACATACATTCTACATAAGATCAGAGGTCAGGAACAGCAGCAGCACATTGCTGCGACAGTCAGATAAAGACTCATGGGGTCATGACTTAGTGGCAGAGAAGGCACTTGTTAGCAGAAGTGTAACTGCCGGGTAAGCTGCTGTATCGACAAATAGGTTTTAATGCTGGACTGTAGGACAGTGAGTTTGTTTTACTCAGACTTAGAAATGAAGCTTTACATTTGTGTTTTCAGTAGGAACCAATGGACATGGAGCTAATGCCTGAGACACAGTGGGGAAGTCAGAGAGTATTGAGAGAGGGAGAGAGGGACTAGCACATTGTTAATGTTGGATTTGTTGACAATAAGAAAAATTAAAATAAAACCAGACTGCTCCTTTTAACAACTAGATCAGAATAAATGACTAGCTATTTGAAGTAATTAAAGTATTGTTGCAGGAACTAGACCAATGATAATACACATGGACATTGTGTACCACAATTACACATTACTGTATGTATACGAGCCAAACACTTGATTTAAAGTTTATTGGATGAGAACTGGAAAAGTATAACTCTGTGTGGTCTATCAACGCAAGTGCTGATGCTACAGAGTGGAAGCCTTGATGAAAAGATAAAAGCAAGTGGGATTTCTCGAAATTGGTTTCTCTCGTATCATCTTCTTCATGCTATTTAGGCATGAACAATTAGTTGATACAGTTGCTTGGCAACAGGAATAATATTTTTCCCCCACAGGAAGTTTAGGTCTCAACAGTTAATTTAGTTTATTTTAATGTGTTTCTTGGTGCCGATTAGAAAGAGCTGATATTACAAAAGAAGTATGTGTGTGTTTACTTGATCGATAGGTATCTCCACCTATCACAGTCATAACGATGTGTTGATCTGATTTGGTCAATGGGTGCAGCACACATTTAACTTTGCCCTTAGGTCCTTAAACCCTAAATTTCAGAGCGTCCCCACTGAAACGTAGCAAAAGCAAGAAAAAAAAATAAGAAAAGAAAAATGCAAGTCTCCTTCAAAACCAATCCAAGGCACACTGTAGGGTTTGTACTTATTTAAAATGCCTTTATTTTACATGGCAATATGTATTCAAAATGACCAACGCATTGCGACCAGAGCTTTTTTTAATAGGGTCAGATGATAAGTTGAGTGGGAGGATGGTTCCCTATAAGTGCTCAAGACTTTTACTAAAATAAGGGATTGACATATCATAATCAATAGAAGGCTGAAAGAATTATATTTTATATTCCATTTATTTATTTGCAAAGGACCATGTACACTATTAAATAGAAATGTTTATTTGATTTAGGCCTATTAGACCAGAGTTAGCTTAAAGCTCATTTTCAATTATATTTTGCTATATTGTGCCACGAAATATTACCCATCTATCATCTATAACCTTATTCTTTACAGGGGTTCAGTCCTTCACAGGACTGACCATTGACACTCATGGGGCAAATTTAGAGCCACCAATTAAACTGCATGTCTTAGGACTGTGGGAGGACACTGGAGAACATGTGAATTCCACACAGAGACACCTCGGCCCCAGCCACAAACTCTGCAGGCACAGAAAGGCCTCAGCTGGCTGGTGCGATCAAACCCAGAACCTTCATCATTATTAGTTTTATTGTCGGCGTCGTTATCGTTGTCATCATTGTCATTGTTGTTCTTGATGTTGGTCTTGTCATTGTTATATAATAATAGCTATTTATACAGCACCTTACATACATGTACTGCGGCTCAAAGAACTTTACAGTATGGCAATAAAAACCAAAACATAATGAGTAAATTGTGTTTTCTAATACAAGCATAGTCATACATTATATGTCATTATATTATTTTCTATTCTGTACGCACACATAGAAATACAACAGATTCAGATTTGGATGAACTTTATTATCCCACGTGGGGAAATTCGTTTGGTCTTTCTTTTAAATCCTCCTAGTGAAAATGCAACCCGAGGCTCTTTCCCTCCTCTTTCATGTGAGGATGAACACTAATGAGAGTTCAGAGATGGTTTGATCTCTTCGTGAAATATATCATCTCATCAACTCATCCTCTCTGCTGACAGTGAAACCAACCGACAGAGAGAAATGGAATGAAGCTGTGGTGCACATTACGACTGCCAACACTTTGTCTTCATTTCACAGAACTTTGCCTCATTAGACCAAAGACCATTATGGTGAAAAACGAACACAAGTAGTACGTATATTATAGTATACAGTGTACAGGCATTGTGCAGTTAGAGGCAGTATCCTGGATCATTGGCTACATAAGCACTGTGCTAAAATTCTGCTGGCCAGTATCAGTGGTGTGTCCTACTCTGCAGCTATATATGCTCGTAATAGGCTAATATCTACTTTGTAAGTGTTCGGGTGCACTCAGGAAATGTTTGCAGAAGCCGCCAGCTGCTGGAGAAGGGACATCTGATCTCCCATCTGCACCACTCTCTGAAGCATGTAAGTTCAGTCGGCTATTTGTGATCCTATTGTGGCCTTGGGCACTAAAATGCCTAGAGCCAGCCCTGTTATCAGAACTAGGCTTGTCATCTTTCTTATCCTGTTAATCAAGTGGCAACCCCAATGATTTATCTTGTGACTCCATCAAGGAGCACTGCCCCCTGGGTTGGGAACCACTGCCCTATATGATGGTCTACATGCCGCCACATGAAAAAAATAAAATAAAAAAACACTTCTTTACATTTAAATGTTTTTTTTCTTTCTTTGGCTCAGGGTGTAGCTATTATTTGGTAGATGACATATACCCTAGGTTAGTTATGAGGAAAATGTCTCCAAGATCTCTATAGAAATAAGTCTTGCACTTCCAACATGGTTCTTTGTTCAAACCAGATTAGAGAGATGGGAATTTTATTGGACGGTTGCTGGTTTGCCGGGCTGTAGCTGCTGAGGAGGTCATGTGTTCTGGGAAATATTATTTTTTTGACATCTCTAAATATATACCATGTCAAACACTGCAATAAATACATATATTCATTGAAAATGTAAAAAAAAAAAAAAAAAAAAAAGAGAAAAAAGAACTTATTTCCAAGAAGACAAAGATGGTAATACAAGTGACAAGTGAAAAAAAATATTAAAATCATGATGATGTGACATTTGTTGGGGTCTGTAGCCTAGTAATTAAATATGTTTTCTGACATCTGGAGAATAAACTACAGTGCACTACAGTACTTAATTATGATGCTGTTTGTCACACATTTTACCTCATTAATATTGTGAATAATTGCGGCCCTATAGGATACGCTCATTCCCAACACACAGTGCAGCCACTGTGGTTGTGTTTATTTATGGCAGCTCTTTTGGGTGCATCCAACAAATTGTCCTCCGAGCGCACATCTACAGGCATTCTGAGCATACACACATACTAACACAGATATACCTATAAAGTTAAATCTAAATGAACCACCTCACACTGACATTGACTTTACTGGGAGCGAACAACGCTTTTCGCCTGTAGCTTCTTCAGGTTCGCTCAGTAAAATTACAAGCCCTCACAGGTGTGATGAATAGGCTGCATCTGGGTCACACAAGCAGTTATTAAAGTCTTAATTTGTTCTCTATTTCCAAGGTGTTTTACCACTTTTACAATGGTGAAAGTAGATCAAAAAACATAATTTAAAAAAATAGCATGATTAATCTAACGTAATAATCCTAATAAAGTTACAGAAAAGTTATTCCAGCATGCTGTGGTTAATTTAGATTTTGAACTGCATAGCCAGGCGACCTAGCAGCACCTGACTGTTGCTGGCTGTGCATGGGGAGTTTCATTTACTAGTGAACAGATAAAGCTATATGAAGTAGAGATTTGATTCTTTTTTTCAGGCTTGGGTGGAGCTCATAACTGCTCAGCCTTATTTTATCCAGCCTGATCAAAGCTCTAATATGCACCCACTTACATGTCTAAGTTAACCTGTAGTTTTGGTCAAATAACCATTTCCCTCATGCATGTTTACACCCACCATAGGACTGATTTTATCTCGCCTTGGAGTCACCTTGGACTCACAGTCACAGTATTGCTAAAATTTTGGCTACGGCCCTGCTGAGTAACATGAAATATGGAATGTAGTGAATGTGACACTCTCCCCTCTGTCAAGGTGCCCTTGAGCAAGGCGCTGAATCAAATCCCCAACCGCCTGTGGTTGTCCCCCTGTGGACAGCAGCAGCACTCTGTGCGGGTCTACACAGCAGCTCCTGCACTACACATGGATTACAGCTGCTGTGGATGTGAAGCAGGCTGCATCTGCAAACTGAACAATAACCAACAATACACATCTCCAACCATCAGTCTGCCTTTAAAGGAAGCTGTCTCAGTGTGGGAGCAGCCTGTTAACGGCACTGCAGATGGACTAGAGTCAGCTCCCCGGCAGCAGCAGCAGCCTCATCACTCTGCCACATCCTCCCCCTCCACACACACACACACACACACACACACACACACACCATGAACGTATCTCTCACATCCTTCCGTCGCTGCATTTAACCCTCATCTGCTGCGTTTAGAAGCGACCTGACGACGCACGGCTCCGGTTTCTTCTGCGTTTTCCGCGGACACCGTGCAGTGTGAGGTCGCTCCCCCCGGCTGCGGAGGACACAATGAGGCGGCTTTTTCTTAGAGCCGTGCAGGACAAAGCCATGAACCCCTGGCTGCTCTTCGCTCTCCTCGGACTCTGGTAAGTGTGGTGTGAAGGAGCAGGGATATCTCCATGATGAGGATGAGGAAGAGGAGGGAGGTTTGTTAGTGGGGGGAAACGGTTGCAGATGTTGCCGCCTCCTCCGGGCTCTCGTGTCTTTGCCCCCCCTCAGGCATCTTGTATTGTACCTGTGATCGCAGGACAGTGGCTCATTGTGTGTTCTGGGGCCTGAGAGCAAAAGATTTGATCCTTTGCTTCGTCAGGAAATGTTCTTACCTTGAGCCATATGTCTGCATTTTTTATAATCTGTGCGGAAATTTGCGCACAGAAGCGGGCTGGAATTGGTCTGCCACAAGCCTTGAACGCTTTTCTGCCTCAGTACAGCGGTAGAATGCCATGTGGGCTGCTGATGGACGGATGATGGATGCTTTTGTTTCTTGGAAGACACAGATCTTCACTTTCCTCAGCCCCAGTTAGTCACAGAGGTGTGAGGAAAGTGAAGATCTGTGTCCTGCAGGCCTATTCCTTGAGATGAAAAATGTGAAAATGTTATAAGTAGAAAGAGCTTCATTCATACAACATCATTCTGTGTGTACAGTTTTCAAAAACTGTAACTTAAGCAAGTTCCTGTGTTGTCCTTTACCCTATATCGTGGTATTTGTCATGGTATTTGTGTCATGGGTCAGGAAACACAGGATCGGATTCAAATGCAGACAGGAAACATTCAGGAATTTAAAAAGGTCCAGTGCGTAGGATTTAGCGAGATCGAGCGGTAAAGTTGCAGATTGCAACTAACTGAACATGGCTCACTTCTGTACATGACGACCTGGGAATGAGAATGAGCTGTGAAGTGTGTTGGAGAAACTATGGCAGCCGCGAAACTTGCGAAAAACACGAAATGCCCTATCTATAGTCAGTGTTTGGCTTGTCCCTTCTGGGTTACTGTAGAAACATGGCAGACAAAGAGAGAAGGTCAGAAGGTGTCCCACGGTGTCTGTATCTCTAAACGGCTCATTCTTAGGTAACGAAAGTATGATTATTATTTTCAGATGATTATACACTAATGAAAACATAGCTGTGAATATTATATTCCATTTCTGACAATAGATCTTCCTAAATGTTACACACTGGACCTTTAATGACACAAATACAGTTATATGAGCTTACTGGCATGTGTAGAAAAAGTCCAAACAGAAGCAACAGAGTCCAGGGCAGGAAGATACAAATTCAAGATGGCTCAGGTACAGGTTCCCAGGTGACGGATCGAGGCTACAAAGCAAGGTGTGGCGGGCAACCAACAAAGCAACTAGAATGAACTACCACTGAAACAAGCTAACACAAAGACTAAGCACAGTGGTGAGGAGGAAGATAAATAGACACAGGAGAAAATAACCAGGCCGGGGCAGGCAATCAAAACTGACAGGAAACACACAAAGTAAGGAAGTAAAAGGACTGACACCAAAGGAGAAAAACGGGAAATAACTAAACTAATGCAATTGGATTTCTCCAGAATTGCTCACCCCCTTTAAAAGTCCAACCCACAGAGCAATCAGAGCCAATCAGAGCTCCCACTGCTGTCATTTAAAGAAAATTGGTCAAAACAGAAGCAGATTTTTAGTTCCTAGGAGTCCTACATATCTTATTTTTTGGCCCCCTGTTCCCGGTAATTGCCTATGCCTGTCAACCGCTTTGCTGTAACCTCAGTTTTCTGTTATAAATGTGTAGACTCAAGCCCAAGCTGAGCCATAATCTGGCCTGTTTGTCTGAACAGGCCTCATTTTACTCTCAACACTAGTATCACATACATTTAGCACTTACACGTTCCTTTAAGTGCCCTATTTAGACCAGTGTAGCATACAAACATTTAATAAAAGCTGTAAAACACATTATAACCAGTTGTAACAGTCATAAAGACATTTTATGGTTGATTATTGTTGATTATTATTGATGTACAGTATTGGTCAACAGTTTAAGACTTCCAGGGCGGCTGTGGCTCAGAGGCAGAGCGGGTCGTTCCTTAATCGGAAGGTTGTGGGTTCGATCCCCGGCTCCTGGTGCCACATGTCGAAGTCTTGAGTAAGATACTGAACCCCAAATTGCTCCCGATGCATCGGTGTGTGAGTGTTGTGAATGTGTATGAATGTTTCTGTTCAGTTTGATGGACTTTGCCATCACTGTGTGAAAGGGTGAATGTGGCATGTAGTGTAAAAGCGCTTTGAGTGGTCAGAAGACTAGAAAGGCGCTATACAAGTACAGGTCCATTTACCATTTATGGGTGCAGACAGAAGGAGTTACAATTAAACACATTAATGAACACTTATGTCTGCTTACAAATACATTATAGTATGTTATAAACCATTATATATACACTGCTAATAAATGCTAAATAGGGGGACTTAAAGTTAAGTGTTACCAATTTACAAGGTGCCTCCATTAATAGCACCTCACATTGAGATTGATAGAGATAGATTCCTCTTGTTCTCGGTGTACTGTGTATAAACCTTGTTGCCTTCAAGGGCCATCATGTACATTGTGCACAGCACATAGATTCATAGTTAACCTTGAACCCTCAAAAGCAACCAGTGCTCTTTTTCCAGAACACTACGCTGTACCAGGTTTTCTGTGAGTCTGTTAGTTGGGTCATTTTTGTCAGAAGTCTCCATCAAGAGGTCACCTGAGGCAGGATGAACACAAGCACTCCTGCCTGGAGACGAACTGCCCCCGTCAGGTGAAATCATCTCTCCTTAACAATAGGCTATATGCTGCCCTTCTCCTTTTGTTCTTTCTTTGACCATAGCCATGTTGTCTGAATTCTGATTTACTTAATAACTGCATTTGCTTGAAATGATACTAGATCAATAATACAGAGGTTCTGTTAAAGGTCCAGTGTGTAACATTTAGGAGGATCTATTGGCAGAAATGGAATATAATATTCATAGGTATGTTTTTATTAGTGTATAATCACAGACCCTGGAAGTAGCCCTCCGTGGAGGCTGCCATGTTGGACCGCCATGTTTCTACAGTAGCCCAGAACAGACAAACCAAACACTGGGACTAGATAAGGGCTTTCAGGCATTTTCTGGTGCGTTTCACGGCCACTAGTTGCTCCCTCATGCTTGGTAATGCAAGTGTGTTGCATTCTTTAAGTACACTGCTAGATGTCACTAAAACCTACACACTGGTCCTTTAAATCTGGGGTTGCCAGGGTTTTTTTTCCCGTCATTGGACAAATATTCCATAATAGCCTTTAGGCATAAAAAATATTCTTCACCTTCACTCTTGGCCAATCACAGGTCATTTCAGAGACAAGTTGTTCCCATTGGCTGTTCTACAAATGCACATGCACGCCCCTGCAGATGGTGAAAGCCTCATTCAGTGGTGATTAATTCTGCAACTCTTTTGCTTGCAACAGCACAAAACACTTGTCCGAACACGTCCCGGCTTCACACGGAGCTTCAGGCTCATTATGTTGCCATTGGGTTTGGATCGATGAGTGTGGTGTGTGCGTGGTGTACTAGCCTCTCATCCCTCTGTTAGACAGGTCGTAGACCACAAGCTCAGGAGAACTTTGGTTCTTTAACTTGGTGATCAGCAGTGGCAGCACAGACTTTGTTGGTTTAAGTTTGCCAAGCAGCAACTAGAACAGATGACAGTGGTGAAAAGTCCCTGAAGAAGAACATGCTGAGACAGACTGAACTGGCGCGGAATCAGTGACTCATCATGAAGGTCTGCAGGGCTCCAGTTGAATCAACACTCAGAATCAAAGCAAGGGGATTCAGTAGAACTCTGCCAGCATTCACTGTATGACTCTAAACTTCATTTGAACTCAGGCAGCAACCGCCACAGCTCAGTGCTGAAGGCAGTGCCCCAGTGTGTTACACTGAGCTGGAGTTCTTGCAATTGCCCTAACTCTAACTGTAATGAACTGAGTAGGAAAACTCGCAGAATCTAACTACAAATACAAAGTCAGTTAGATGCAGTTAGCCGTAGCGGTTGTTGCTTGCTTGTGCCTCCACCACTCTATCTAGTCTGCATCTTGCTTGTACATCCAGACAACATCAATACCTCAGTTTTTGCAACAAGACTGAAAACTGTACCACAGACGCATACAGGATCAGTGAACTATTATCATAAGTCAGACGTAGAAAGTAGTGAGGGACAAACGTCAAGGATCTATTGTAGAGCTGACTTTTTTACATCTCTTATTCAAGTACTTGTTCCATCATAGAGATGTCGGTGACTGTTGACAAGGACAATCGGCTTTGCTTTACCTTTCTTTTGAGTTCTTTTATGTATTAAGTGGAGTTTAAAACAACTATGAAATATAGCCAAAGAATCTGCATATCCAGTGTTCAAGTCCCTCTTTGTGTGTGTGTGTGTGTGTGTGTGTGTGTGTGTGTGTGTGTGTGTGTGTGTGTGAGATTGGGTGGTTGTAGCTGTAGAAATCACTAGCCATTATTCATATGGCGAACCCTGGCTCGAACCCTGGCTCCTTTCAGTCCTTGAGTTGAACTTCAAATTCCTCCTTAATTAGGAATTTAATATAATGGCAAATAAATCTTAAATAAACCGTGAGATAAAGAAGCAATGGTGGCAAAACCCAAATCCAAGCTTCAAACTTTTCTTCGGAAGCCTGTGGGTAATGATCGACAAAGACATCCATGTTTGTTGTGGGATCAGTTGAAGCAGCCCAGCCTCACAAAATGGCATATGAATAACAAAAGAGGAAAAAAGAGGTTGTTTAAAAGGGGTTTACCTCTGGGGACCATGAAAGTCCATGAAAATGTGATTAGTTTTTGATCATTATGGATCAACATGTAGGTCAAGGGCAAAAGGTGAGGGGAGTCATTAGAAATTGTTCTCCAGGGTCCATTATACCAAATTTATTGGCAAAGATATCGTACCAAGGAGTTTTGATTGACAAACAGACAGATGAACACTACCGTTCTTAAGCTTCACTGCTGGTGGGGAAAAAGGAAAAAAAAAATCTAAATGTTTACCAACCAAATTGCAGAAAACTTTGTGTTTTCTATCTATTATTCACAGCCATGGACAGGATTCAGATGAACATGGCTTCATGGAGTCTCATACAGTATTATTTCTGTGTTTAGACGATAGCACAGAGTCCTGAGGCTCATTCCTGCTGCACTGGGTTATTGTGCTGTGGTTGAGGTCATGTTCTTTGTATTAGAAGCCTGGGCTGAACGCCAAGTCCTCAGGTCTCTTTACAGTATCAGGTTCGTGTTCATTAACAGAGAGAACAGCAGCAGCACACCTTGGCACAGACAGAGTTTGGCCATGTGTAACCACCTATAATAGACACAGCATGGCAGGGCAGCAGGAAACACACCTAACGCTTCCGACAGCTGTGCGTCATTGCCAGGTTACATCCTACAACTACCTTTTTTTGCACTGGATTCAATAAAGCATTCTGCTTCTCGAAATCCACTGAGAGCTTGTATGCGACTTAGACTCGCATCACAGATAACCTCAAGCCTTTGGCAGAATAAAAAAAAGTGATTACTTCACAGCAGAAGATGACTGAAAACAGGCTTTATTGAAATGCTGTGATCACAAAATAAATTGCTTTTGGTGTTTGCAGAAACAGCTGATTTTCTGTTATGTTGTTTGCTGACATAAGCACAGAAGAAATATATGGATTATAAGCAAAAATCTGACTTTTGTCCTTGAAGAGTCCTACAGCCTTGAATGTTATTGTGTAAAACAGCAAAGAGGGGTATACATACACAACATTTTATCTGGAACAATTTAAACACAGTGAAACGCGTTCGTTTTGTCCACCGAACTCGATCTCCGAGTCGGTTTCCTGAGTTACGAACCGGAAGTTGCAAATAAAATGCTCCCGAGGACGTATAAACGACTCCTGAAGTCGTCTGAACTCCCGAGTTCAGTTACCAAGATGGCTACTCCGAGCATCACACGTAGTAAACATTGTGGTTTTCTACTATTTTAAGCACTTTTGTCTTTGTTGTAACCAAATGAAGAACCGTCGTTACACACAGCACTGTATACTGTTACCTATAGGCATGTCGCATACAGTCTTATGTATGTGTTAAATACCGCCTAATTAGTTATTTTGTAGCTTGTGCATCTGAAATTGGCTTCCAGATGTGAGACATTCAGAATCCAAAAATGTTGGCTAAAACTGACTCAACAATGAAGCAGAAAAAAAAGTCTTGTAGGGACGCAATGCACAAAGCAGAGCAAAGTAGCCACGGTAACGTTTAAGTGTTAGGATCATTAAACGGAATATTCAGATATCAAAACTGTGAAATTAATGATTGTGTAATATGTAATGAACATGTGAAATCCTCGGTGGGTGCACCGTTAACCTAAGAGTAATCACTATAAGTACGTCTGAATTGAAATTTATAGTCCAACCTGCCTAATGCATTTTGTGTTAACCAAGCTCAAGTTTACTGAAAACTTGACTTAATGCAGTTATTTTCAGCTTAAACAACTTCAAATAAATATTTTCTACTTCAATTAGAACTTTTGAGGCAATAGGTTTCCTGACTTTTTTAAGTAAAGTCAACTTATCACAATTTACAGTGTGTATCTTGGATGAGCCTACAATAACCAGATCTGCGAACACTCCGGAGCAGCTTCAAGTCCAAACCAACAAGGAACCAAATGATCTGTTTGCGCTGAACCCTGTTGAGTGGATCTGTGTATTTATACGTCAATCACATGTGCACTTCATCAGCTATATAACAGTAAAATTTGTACATAACAAATTGGTATAGCACTTCCAATTGACTATTAATTAGAAAAAAACATTTTTTAAAAAGTTAGGGCATAAGGGGGTGCAATCTAATGGTTATACACTATTATCGGATACAGTATGATCATGATTGAGCAACAAAGCTAGACATTTTGGGGAAGATGGGATAATGAGTTCTGTAGCACTTTGTAATTCTGCTGCGATTCATTTCAAAATTATTATGTGCTACTTACCCACACTGGAGGAGTACAGATGAGGACAGTAATACTACATAGTTCTTATGACTACAATAAATGTGTACGTTTACTTTGGAACACACAGAGGTTCAGGGAAAAGAGCATTGTCACGAATATACTGTGTCCTCGAGGCTGAACTAGGAAATAAAGATAGTAAAATTTAGTTAAAGAGACAGTATAGAAGCAATTTACAGCAATTTAAATGTGTGATGTTTCTAAGACTTGATGGCAAGACAACATAAACACATATTCACCTTCAAATTCATGATTTCGAGTTTCCTGCACCTTAACATAAGTTGCAAGAAAACGGAGAATAAATATGGTCCTGGTTATAGCTTTGTGTGTAGCCATTACGCAGCTAATATAGCTAAGATGATTAAAACTAAAGCGTATTTCAGTCAGATGTGTGAGATGAAAAGCACGTCTGAAACACGATGGATAGTCTATTAGGGCTCAAGAGTTTGGCATATTCTCAAACACTGGTGAATACCTATAGAAAGCCTTCTTGTGGATGTGTTCCAGTCACGTCAAACTGGCAGTACTGGGTGGGGGATTACATATGCCATCTGTCATGGGAAGGCTTGGGAAAAAGGGCTACCTTTCTTAGCAGGCCTAGACTTAGATAAATGGTGGAAAACTGATGGACAGATTGGTGGGAATTTAAGTTTACACCTATAATCAATGGTCTGAAGGGTTTAGAGCCAGTCAATGCTCCTTAGGACTTGTTAAAACCTTACTGTAAATCTAACCCAAACCTGCATCAACCCTATATTCTATACACCCATTGAATTATATGCAAATTACTGAATAACATTGTTTCCTACGTTTGTTTCTACTCCACAGTGCAGCATTTGGGCCCAGTAAACAGGAAGAAGAGGACTATGAAGATGTTCCCATAAATAAGACCTGGGTCCTATCACCGAAGGTCTACGAAAGCGATGTGACTTTGATCCTAAATAAACTGCTGCAGGGCTACGACAACAAACTGCGGCCTGACATCGGAGGCAAGTTCAGTTCATCCTGTGGAAATGTGCTTTGTTTCATCTTTGTTACCACAACACATTCTACTCAGATGCAATGCGGGGGACTTCAAAAGAAGTCTGTAAATATCTTTGTGCAGTTAAGGGGACTGCTTTGTAGGGATGTGCACCTCCATCGCTGAGGCCAATATATATGCATCTTGACGCATTGCCAACAATATGATACATTAAAGAAACATTTGAAGCAACTACTAATGCGAACAATCAACCAACAATGGCAAACAAGTGCAGTTTGAGTACAAAGATTGAATGATTTGAGACTAAAACGAATAGTTTACTGACGTCCAAATGAGTGCTCAACTTTCTCATGCCCATCAATGCAAACACTGCAATCCTTTCCTTGTGCTACTGGCCTGATAAATTTTGGTCATCTGCCACTAATTCCACCTCTCATCGTAGAGTTTTACCCCATCTTCTATTTAAGAGAGATAAATCACTTGACACCAGTTTTGCGCAATATTGACTGCACTTTATATGAGCAAATTTGAACGCCAAAAAAGAAGTAGTAGATTCCAAAACCCATCTAGGAAGAAGTCATTGGAAATTGTTTGGAAAAGGCATTTTCAAAAAATACTTATTGGATGCAGGTTATTGGATAAACCATTGGTCAGATCAACAAACCATTTAACATATTCAAACTTTTACCAAAGCCAGATGGGAGAAGAGTGAAAAACCTTCAGTGCTGTTTTTTGCTTTTGTTTCACCAAAGAAATACTCTCCAGTTCTGATATAACCAATGCCAGCTGCATCTATTCTAACCTCTTTAGAACCCGGCATCTACATTAACCTTAAAGCAAACTTGTTTTTGAGCATAATGGTCACTTCACACAATCATCGTCACACATACCTAGTGTTAAACCACGCCCGTAGCTCATGCCTTTGTTGTTTGTCTCATTGGTCCAAACCACTGTTCAGATGCCAGCCTTGCTAGGCAAGGTTAGATGTATGCATCGAATCAGCTAACACCATTGTCATGACCTTTATTTAGGCAAAAAGGATGATCTATGGTGATGTAATAGGGATAGGATGCTGTTCTTTGTTGTAGATAACTTTATTATTTAGATTGACAAGTCAGACAGCATATTTTTGGACATCAGCTAACGTGTACAACAGTTGATGCTGTCTATATCAATACAGTGTGTCCTATGTTATGTTTCAGTGAGGCCAACGGTGATTGAAACAGCTGTGTATGTCAACAGCATTGGACCAGTGGACCCCATCAACATGGTGAGACAGCTTCTTCTGATTTCCCTTTGCTTTTTGTCTGCTGATATAATAGATAATGGATAGATAAATTACCAACTTGCTAATTTTGTTATTACACTTCATGTTTTTACAGTTTTAGTAAGACATTAGGATTTATTCTCTGTGGATCTAAATGAATGGCTGTACATCCAATAGTTGAGTACAAAAGTTAATTCTTTGCCTTGCAAATGGTATTTCAACACAATAAAAAAAAACCTTCACTCAAGGTCAACATGCTTTTAAACTCCATCCATTAGAAAAGAAAGAAAGAAAGAAAGAAAGAAAGAAAGAAAGAAAGAAAGAAAGATGGTAAAAAAAAATCTATTAGGTGGACCTTGATTTGAGATTTATATTTGTTGGATTTTCTTATTCTGTCGCAGGAATATACCATTGACATCTTCTTTGCCCAGACATGGTATGACAGCCGACTCAAGTTTAACAGCTCTATGAAGCTGCTCATGCTCAACAGTAACATGGTAGGCAAAATCTGGATTCCCGACACATTCTTCAGGAACTCCCGCAAATCAGATGCCCACTGGATTACCACTCCCAACCGTCTCCTGAGGCTGTGGAGCAACGGGAGGGTCATGTACACACTGAGGTAGGACAGTTAGGTGCCCAGTTTGCTAATCATTTTTGGGTAGCCATTTTTATTGTTGAACTATCAACTTTTCAAAAGATCTTTGTTGTTTGTGCAGCTTTAGTGTGTGCGTCTGTTTTTATCATGTAGTTCTCTTTTAGGTGACCCCAATTTGTCAAAGCATGATGTAATGGTCATTATTTTTTTCTGCATTTGTTGGTGTAATTAGAGAACATGAAGTACCATTACTATATTCAGTCACACTTGGGAGGGAAAAAAACAACGCTGAGACTTGCCTTTTCTCTGTCACAATTCTGTTTCTGTCAGGTTGACTATTAATGCGGAGTGTTACCTTAAGCTGCATAACTTTCCAATGGATGAGCACTCGTGTCCACTGGAGTTTTCAAGCTGTAGGTGGTCAAACGTTTTCCCCTCCCATTTTTGAACCCACCATCTCGACTTCAACTTTCGTAACTTGCCCAGGAGAGGGGCGTTTGTGTGGGCTAGCATAGTGGCTAAGCCCTTGTTCCTTCTCTTAGCCAGAAGGCCCATCTGCTTGAGGCTGCCCTCTCTAAGCCTGTACCAATCTATCATCTGCTCCACCAGCGGAGAGAGGAGGTCACCCAGTCCCATTTTCTCTGACAGACTTAATGAATTATGCACCCTCTCCCAGTCTGATTCATGCTGTCTGTGCCATCTTTCATTTGTCTCTTGCATTGTGCTTTAGCCTCTCATGTCTTGTCATGATCTAAATCTTCCACACTCTAGTGAAAAATGCATAGCCCATTTCATGGAGTTGAGGACAAATGTCAGGACCAGTACAGTCACACTAAATGTCATCAAATGAGCACAGACCAGTAGTAATTTCATAAACAAAAACGACTTAACAACTAATGAGACCTCACCTTAAAAACAGAATTGGTAATTTGTTTAAATGCCTGAAAGAACATAAGTTTTGCTTACAAGCAAGCATCCTGTTACAGATTTGCCAATAACACGTCCTCATACCAAAAACACTGAATAGGTTGAGATATATATATATATATATATATATATATATATATATATATATATATATATATAAGAGAGAGAGAGAGAGAGAGAGAGAGAGAGAGAAACTAGAGACAGGCGTAGCGGACCTTCGTTGTACTGGAACTTTGTTGTACTGGTCCTTCTTTTACATTTTAAAAGCGGCACACTTGGGTTAGGTTTAAGAACCAGAACTACTTATGTTTAGGAAAAGATCATGGTTTATGATGATGATATTTATGTTGACTGGTTTACTAAGTACGTTAAGTGGTGGCTTGAAGCTGATTTGGTATTTGGTATTTACAACCTTGGAAAGAGACTCAACAATCAACTATATTTCTCAATGACTGAATGACTGAATCCACTTTTTAAGTAACTTATGTAAGGTTAAAGAAGTCAACACTGACTTTTAGTTTCAAACCATGCAAACATTCTTTGTGTAAAACAATCCAATTTAGAAGCACTACAAGCTCAAGTCAGATAAAATATTGTGGTATGAACAAGCAAACTTCACTACAAATGTATTACTGACTAAGGGAATTTCTTTCCTCCTTCATTGTACACCTCAAATAGAGCAATTACCTGCAGACTGTGTAATGCCTAGCTGCACAAACAACTTGCTATTGACTAATACAGGAATGCCTATTAAAGCTTATGTTTACTTGTCACATACTGTATTTCACAGAGATCTTGCTCATTTGAAGAAATTTCATGAGACTGTGCAGGTCAGATCCATCTTGAATGCCCCCCTTTGCCTTGCCATGGTGCAATGTTCCCTTGTGATGTACAGTATAATGAATAAGCGTCATATTGGACATTATAGGCATCAGTAAGGCTTCTAATTTATCTATTATGTGTCTTTGTTTGGGGTTTTCTGTAGATGGTTATCCCAAGAATGAGATCATGTACCGGTGGCAGAGACGGGCGGTGGAGGTGGCAGACCAGCGGTACTGGAGACTCTACCAGTTTGCCTTTGTAGGGTTGAGGAACACCACTGATGTGGCACACACTCAGTCAGGTGAGCTATTGTGGGCAAGTCCTCTTACATATTGCCAGTCTCCAGTTTTACATGAGGCACTGATACTACAAGAATTTTCATTAGTTTTGGGGAAGAGTGTGAATCATCATGTAGATCCCATTTGTTCTTGTGCTCCATTTGTTGTACCATGGTGTCAATCTCGGAAACCAATGGCTATCACCTGATGACAATTTAGCCTCTGGGGGCAGCAATCAATGTGTTGGGACTTCCATAGTGGCTAGCGGAGATCCAGAAAATAGATATCCTGGCCAAGACTTCGTCTTCAAGAAAGACACATTTTGACTAACCTAAATGTTTAATTGACACCACCTGATGGTTGAAATTTGCATTTGTGTTCCGAATCTTGTGGTCACCACACAGACTGTTGCAAGGAAAGAACCAGAACATTTCCAATGCCAAAATCTTGGTCCCATGTGCAGATATATTTATAGAGATTGCAATGAAGTAAACCAAGCTTATGTTTATGTGCAGTCCTCTCATTGATTTCGATTTTAGTAACCCATATGTAAGCAGGTAATTCATATTGAAATAACAAGTAAATAAAAACTATTTTTTACACTGCCATTGCTAAATTCTTAATGTTTTATCTATATATCTACCTAATTGTTAAACCTACAGGCGAATATGTAATCATGACGATCTTTTTCGACCTGAGTCGGAGAATGGGCTACTTTACCATCCAGACCTACATTCCCTGCAGTATGATCGTGGTTCTGTCCTGGGTCTCTTTCTGGATCAACAAGGATGCTGTGCCAGCCCGCACGTCTCTAGGTTTGATATGTTCTTATTTCATACCAGAGCTTAAATTTGTCTTGTTTTGTAAGTCACTGTACTGGCCATCAATCTTTGAAATATTTCAACATAATGAGGAAATTATGGCATTAAAGGCCTGAAAACATACTTTCTCAATCACCTTCTCCTTCTCTTCTCCCTGGTTTAATGTGAACAACTAGATCACATACTTCCTTGAACCAACCAAGATTTTGCAATATTTGAATGAGAATGAGATGACTGCTGGCATTGTTTGGTCACTGTCAATCAAACCTTGTGAGTTTATGTGTTGTGAGTGAGTGTTGATCTTAATTAAAAAGTCATGGATATTATTGCTGTAGAGAAATGCCTAACATATGAATCCAGGTTTTCAGGGGATTCTATGCAGGTTTCACACAGATGGTGCTTTTTAACCACCCACACCAACCCAGATGTTCTATGCCCTGCAAGTATTACCAAAGGGACAACACAGAGACTAAAGATCTAATACTGATTCAAAGTTTGTCAAAATACACCTCAATGCTATAGAATTTCACAGATTTCTACTTGGCTTAATGCCTGTCACAATTACTCTTGTTGGATGATATATTGTCCCAGAAATAATTGTGATAAATGATTTTGTCATTTAAAGCCCATTGAATGCCACTGATATAATGGTAAGCATAATATTCTAAGCATACCGTTTCAAAGAATAACAAAATTCAGACAATGGCTCTGTTAACAAAAAGTGCACTTAAAAAAATATTAAATATTTAGCACAGAGTTGGGCTATAGAGTCATTCATCGCTTAAACAATGCAATGTATATATAAATCACATTGGATAAAATATTGGTGACATTCTTAAACGGTAAGTTGATATCATGATAGGTTATAATTGCATATTGAATAAATTGTACAATAAGTCGATAACGTAAATATTGTGACAGGTCTATGTGGGTGTTAAATATTCTGTCAAATTCACCATGTAGCACACAGGCATTCAAATGAATGTAGAGAAAAAGCATTTGATATTCCCTTTCATTAGGTATCACAACAGTGCTCACCATGACAACTCTAAGCACCATCTCAAGGAAGTCCTTACCCAAGGTTTCCTACGTCACTGCCATGGACCTGTTCGTCTCTGTCTGCTTCATCTTCACCTTCGCTGCCCTCATGGAGTATGGCACTCTGCACTATTTCACCAGCAACAGACAGACCAAAAAGGCTAAAGCAAACAACACACAGGTACCCAACATTCACTTTCTTTCTTTTCAGTGAGTAATTTTCTTTTGAAGCCACTGAATGCTAATCGAAACATACTGAAATGCCTGTGTGTGTTTTCCTCCACAGCAGAAAGCATCCAGTATGGTGAATATCCGACCTGGCACATCCCTGCTGCAGATGAACAACATCGTGCCCTATCACGAGGAGGCTGACTATGCTTACGAGTGTTTGGATGGAAAAGACTGCACCAGCTTCTTCTGCTGCTTTGATGATTGCCGCTCAGGTGCCTGGCGTGAAAACAGGATGCATGTTCGGGTTTCCAAGATTGACTCTTACTCACGAATATTCTTCCCCACTGCTTTTGGCCTTTTCAATCTGGTTTATTGGATAGGTTATCTGTATCTATAAAACCAGTACCTCAAAAAAGGACGACTGGCGTTTAACATCTGCAAGCATTTCATAGAAACAGAGCTGCTCTTGGCTGCTTAGCAAACATGGAGGCAAAAAATAAACTAAATTGAAATCTAAAGACAAATTATCAATGCCAATACTACAACAAGGTGGTATTCTCTTAACCCTGCAATGTGATTTTCTAACAAGAAAAAAAATGTATTTCTATTATTTAAGCTTAACCATAAATAATACTATCAATCCTTCTATCTATTTTCCGCAACATATCCAGGTCAGCTTTGCGGTGGCAGCAAGTTAAGAAAGGTAGCCCGAACATCTTTCCACCTAGTCACATCTTCCAGCTCACCAGGGCCCATGTTCCAATAAAACACTGTATTAGTGCCCTCTTTGATGCCCCTAAGGTAGATAAAAATGAATACAGTGCCCTCTAAAGTGACCCAATGTACAAGAAAACAGGATAAAGTGCCCCTCTAGGGTGCCCTTCCAGTAGAGAAAATGCAATGCTTGGCCATACAGCCTGCCCTACATGTTAGAATTTTATAAGGAGTAGGGTCTAGACCTGCTCTATTTGAAAGGTATTCTGAGATAACTTTTGTTATGAATTGGTGCTATACAAATAAAATTTAATTGAAAATTGCTACATAGCAAAATTGGTCCAGTGACGGCCCCCACAGCTTACTTAAACTCCAAAGAAAGAAAGTTGTGAGGCATTTATGGTGAAACAGTTTGGCCCTTACACTTGGCCCACATACAGCAATGACTTATGGTCCAGATGTGGGCCAGATCTGGTGGCCACATATGGCCCATGACATAGCTGGCCCTACGTTGGACCAGACAAGTTTCAGCACTGGTTCCACTGAACACAAAAATGGCTGAATGTATGGGCCAACCAACTGGGCTATGTGGGATAATTAATAAATACATCCCGACTTTCTGTACTCTTGTGCCCTTTTTATTTTCTTCCCCCCTGCCCCTCAGACAACCTGAGTCCGCCAGTTCTTTCTTGCCAGATCCTAAGCACCGCTGACAGCTAAAGTGTTCCCATCTGGCCTGGGAACACCTTAGCTGTCAGCTGTGCCGGGAGTACGTCCACAAGGAGACATCCAAAAGTCATCCTAATCAGATGCCCAAACACTTCAACTCGCTCCTTATATATCTGAATTCCTCAGCCCATCTCTAAGGAAGAGTCCAGACACCCTGCAAAGAAGACTTATTTCAGCTTCTTGCATCCACAATCTTTCCGTCATTATCCAGAAGTCACGACCAATCAGTTGACACAACAGTCTGGCTCACTCATAAACAAGGCCCTGAGACACAATTTTCCTCTCTGTCGAACACAGGAATCTATGTAGATAAATAATAGGTGTACATTTCTACCTTGTTCACCATTGCACAATTAAAATAGGGCCTCAAGTGTTTCATTCATTAAAAATGGGGACCTTGACATTGAGGCTAATGACTGTAGGTAAATAACTCAATATAGCTGAATTAAATGTTTTCCTTTGACAGCAAAAGTGCTTCATAATATTGGCCAACTCCACTCATACTCTGCTTTTTCACATGCTTTTACAACCATTAAAATGTTGGGTTCTAATTGCCAGGTCCATTTTGGATCCTGTTCAAGGTCGACAAAATAACCTGATTCACCAAGCTCCAATGCTAACAACTCTCTTATTGGGCCTTTTATCTCTTCTTATTCATTTTTTATTAGCAAAGAGCAATGGAAAACACATTCAGGTACCTTTAGGCTTCATTTTAATCTAGCATGCTGTTGCTTTGGCCGGTTATAATGACAAATGTTGCCAGTGGAAGATTATTTCAGCTTTAGCTAAAAAATGTTAACAGCTAAAATTAACTTGCAAATGTAATTTAAACCTCATTAGATTCAATTGGGATTTGAAAGGATTCAGATTCAAAAAGGCAGATTTGATACTGGATTTCCTAACCTGCTGACGAACCCTAACCCTGCCTATAGAAGCTCTGACCCCAGAAACGTTTGCACAAGTAAAACTCCAGTCTACACAGAGGATATATTGCCATCAAACCTAAAAAAAATAGCCCAAACGTTTGTTTACTCTCTGCCACCGTGCTATTGATATTGTTGACAAGTAGGAAAGAGGAAGTGCATTGCACTTTCAGCTGTAATATGGAATGAAGGGGTATTTATCCTCTGTTAAAGGTAAATTCCCTGATTTTCTTAGAGTGGCCAATAGCTCAGTTGAGTTTCAAGATTTAAAACAGAGTTTTGGGATTCAGGCAGACTATTGGCCACTATAAAACAACCAGGGTGCATATCTTTCTATATCTGAACGACTCCATTGTTCATAGGGTTCTATTTTTCTAGGCAACACCTCACAGCATTAAGATTTGTGAGGTCAAACTGGTCTAGCCTCTGCTCAGAAGCTACTGCATGGAATGAATTTGTAACCTGTCAAACAGTGAATTGTCTTGAACAATGATGGTTGTTTTTCCAGCAGCCAGATTTTATACTATTATGTATCATAAGTTACAAAAAGTGTGAAAATTGTCATTGATGCACTGTTCAGGCAAATGTGCATACACTCTCAAAAACACTTCTGAATTGAAAATTTCCAGCTCTAAATTGGGCATTCCCCTCCTGAACAGTTTTGAGAAAACAATGTCCTTTACTATACAGCTCATAAATTACTTGAATTTCCTTTTATACAGTTCTGTTACATGTGAAAGACTCACTATGTGGACAGCTGTTTTTGCCACCCTGCAAACGGTCTGAGACACAAGCAATGATTGCATATTGAAGTATTTCCAGCAACATCCTCTTAGAATTACTCTACAATTCATGTCTGAATGGCAGCTGTCAGTAGAGTCAGTATCATAAAGGAACAATTAACTACAGAGGACTTAAAGCTGATTTTTTTTCCCTTCATTTTTTAACGTACGCATCTGCTCGGAAATACAGTAAAAAATTCCTTCAGAAATGGCAGGTTCATGAAGTTGTTATATAGTTTGACATTAATTGGCATAGGTGTAGTACTGCTGGAGCGCCAACGATGGTCTGCCACTTTTTTTCTCCAAGTAGGGAAAATAGAATAGCCTACCGTAAAATGTGAGAAAGGCCTCTAATTCCTTTTGGAAAAACTGATGACTTGGTATGGTTGTTTTCACACCTGATGCGTACCGAACCAAATTTAAGACCATCTTTTCAAGTGGCGTGGTTATTTGATCTGTGCCCAAGTACAATACACAGGGTTTACACTAGTGCCTGAAATGGGTCTGTACTCACAGTTATTAAGTACCAGCATTTCTGATCCTTGGTGTACCCTTACTTCTTATTGAGTACCACCACCTGCGGTATAATAATCGCCTAAAAATAAAAATTTTGATGCCCCATAGCCCCCCTAGCAAGTTCAGTTTTCTGTATTTCTAAAAACCCTGCATAAAGCCATGCTGGTGAGGTACTCCTAAATGCCTGCGTAACTCCAAAAGAATTATGGTTAGGGTTATGCTGTGTTTAGGGTTAGGGTTGTGGTGAATTAGGGTACTGGCACCTTTTTTGGTCCAATTCAGGCACTGGTTCACACTAATTAAATGAACTGGACTTTGGGGTCAAGACTGCCATTTCTAATTTGTATGGGACACACAGAAACAAATTAAAGCTGTGGCTTTGTTTTTAAAGAGGTCAGTACAGTAAGTGAGGTAATACTAATGTTGGTCTTAATGTATACTTATAACATCATTATTGTCTCTGCTGTTCATTACAAGAATAAGACCCTTTGCGTAGTCAAGGATTACTTACGTTAACTTAAGTGTATTACGGCATACTCAGGTTCTTTGCTCTTTAACGAATGTTCAAAACAGTCGCTATGAACCTATGCCATTATTGAAGAACATATCATTACATTCTTTATAATTTTACTGAGCATTTCATGTATATAGTAGTATCAGCTTTCAGCCCTAAAGCACCTGTACTTTTTTAGATAGTTAATCAGCAGTATACTGTGCATCCATGTAGACTGCAAAATTCTTGGCTTTTTTGTGATATAAAAGAAGATAAAACACAGGTGTATACTACTTCAGGTATTTTTGTCACACTCTAAAATGTAAGAATGATAAAAGTGACACATGCAGACAACACAGATACCAAGAGAGACAAAAATGCTACACCAATGTTTTCCCATGAAATAACTGCAGTTTAAGCAGTTCTTGAACTTCTCACACACACCAAAGAAACTGTCAGATACAATTTAGTAGCACGTCCTGTATAAATGTCATGTTGCACATAAGTTCTGTAAAATGTCAAATACAGAATAGTCATAACCCTTACAACAGCGCTTCATCTAGATGCCATATTTCTGCCATGGTTTTAGAAATTTATGGTGAGATAGCCATCAATGAACCCACATTTCAGAAAAAGTCATGTCTGAAAACAAGTAGTTTTCATCCATATCTAACAAGGAATGTACTGAAAGCCACATTTATCTATGCAAACATTTTTGCAGTTCTCTAAGGGTGATTACTCCTAGTTTACTTGTTTGGTCTGAACAAGGGATGTACAATTGATATAATTATTTTAATCGATTAATGGTATTAAAGAAATAGTAGATAATCCGATAAACCAAGGAATGCATGAGGAATACTTGACATGACCAAAGTGTCTGTACATCCTTTGTCTAAACCAACTGTGTTTTAGCATTTTTCTACTTTGTGTACTTAGTTCACTTCCCAGTTCCAGTTAAACCAGTTTTTAAAACATGAGATACCAGACTTGTCTTATAATAGGTTTCTGCAGTATCGATGCCAATAAATAAGTACATCCTCCAGCTCACACATATAAGAAAAGTAGATTTTATCATGTTTCAGTAAAAACTGCAGTTAACCTGTTGTCTTAATAAATTCAGCATGAAGTACTTTCCACCACTACTGACTTCTCTGCTGCTTTCAGTGGTTCTTCTTAAAAAAAAAAACTTAAATACTGCCCCCACTCACTAGGTTTTTTTAATCATTGTTAAGCTTCTGTCAATGAAACATCACTTACGTACATATTTTATCCCAAATCATGATCTTACAAAGCCTAACCCTAACCTAACCCTAACCTAACCCTAACCCTAACCAAGTAGTTTTGTTGCCTAAACCTAAACAAACTGCGACAATCTCACAACATTACCCACGTGTTTAAGGTCTGGAGATAACGCAAGGTCCGATACACCTGTTGCTGGTACTCTCCACCAGTCATACACTGATTTAGGAGTCGTTGGCACTCAAACTATTATATTGCTTAGGTATGAGGACGTATTGGCCAAAAAACATGAAAGTTCCTCTAAGCTGTCCCCACCTCAGCAGCAGTGACACCCTTCATTAGGTTTTGCTGCTTCCAGTCACATTATTCTTTGAACTGCTAATCACAGAACATGTGCAAATGACAAATATTCCTCTAATGTAGCATTTGTAGCAGGCTTGGTAAACCTGTTGATACTGTACCAAAAGGAAATTCTGTAGATACATGGGTTGCAAAATGTTAGTCTGATTCTTATCATATCAGTGCTTTTAAATATAGCAGATTGCATTTTAGTATAGTGTGTCAAATATATTGCTAATCTTGTTATTCATTTGTTCATATCTTGGGGGGAATAAATCTAAATTACAAAGTGAATATGCTTAACATTTACAATACTTTGTTAGTTATTTACAGCATAATTAATGCAAGCATAATTTGTTTTTCAGAGCTTCTTTGCCCAAATTCCGTAGCTACATTGCTGCCTATATTATTTGAGAGTATAATTTCAAGAATTTTGCACGTTTTGACAAAGCTGTGTCTTAGGGTTAGCACTGACGGCTTCTGCGGACACTTGGTAGGATAGTCCAGTAGTCTCTATAGGGCCTTCAGTTTCCCCAACTTCAACACTCCTCTGTCTTGGCTTCAAAGAAATTATTCATGATCTGTGTTAAAAAAAAAAAGTGTAAGTTTATATGGCTTTTCAATCTGTAACTCAAATTATTCATTTAAGTGTATTCACCAGTTGCTCTGTAACTACATGTCATTATATTGCATACTCATTCTTGTAAGTAGCTAAAGACTTCAAAATCGAATGCTGTATTGTTCAGCCTAACAACCTCGAAAACCATGTTCAATGATAGAATGCGAACTTGAGAGCAAGGTTGTTAATGACTGGCACATAATACTGCGTATTGCATTCAACTCAAGCCATATAAACACATCTCTCATCTGTGTTCAATGTCATTCTCTGTAAATGTTGCTCATATTGTATCGTGACTACTTACTCAATACACTGTGAGAAAATAAAGCAGTGCCTGGAAAAAGTCCAAGTGGTGTTATCAGACTTGATGTTGCCAAACAAAACACATCATTAAAAGGTTAACATTGGTTTATAGAGACTAGACTACACTGTCAGTATGGCTGGATACAGTAAGTTCTACATTTGGCATTTTCATGTTATCCTATGAAATTTAGGGGGGAAAATTGTTTGCCTATCATTAAAACCCAGGGTTCGGCATTATGTTCATTTCCATGAGAGTTTTTTGGAGCCAGCAGAGGTCACGTACTGTGAGTTGAGCAGAAGAAAACAACGGCAGCTTGCCTGATCACATATTCCTCTTACAGGTAAACAGTACACTAAAATATGTTTCTGAAAGGATTTGAGGAGAGAAATAGTCAACGCAGTAACAGAATCTGGATCCATATTTGATCAGCTCTGCCTAGTTTGACAGTTTGATCTGAGTTTGGTGCGTTGAGCTGGACGGACTGAGAATGACCTGTTAATCACAAGGTAGCCACACCCTAAAGCATACCCTGCTTTATGGTCTATTTTACTCTAAATGGGACTATCATTTACTAAATGAACATCATGCTGTATGGAAGAAGACTGAAACGAGAGATTGAGACCATAAACTCATTAGGAAACTGTTTACTGAGCTCATAAATCAAGAGAGAAGTCGGCTCATTTCTCCATAAGACTGCATGGTTTTGGTTGTTATTGCAGGCAATGGACCTTCCCCTGCTGGGGATAAATGCAGGTTTATCACAGACCGGGGAGCTTTGTCTATTATATATACAGTCAATGTTCAGACCACTGACTTAGTCAATCTTGAACATTTTTAGCCATGCTAGCTCTGTGGTTTTGTGAATGTCAGTCGGTCAGTCCACCACACAGATATTCAAGGTTTCCAGAAGATTAATTGTCATGGGCTTATGTATTTTTTCATCTAGGTCAAAATTAGATTAAAATAGTATAAAAAAGTATTAATGTTTGTTTATTCTGGCCTCCTGTCAGTTTGCAAAAGTGGCCCCAAGCAAAGCAAGGGATACTGATGTAGAATCAATCTTGTTGTTGCTATTTATTGATTTATAATATCCAAAACCTTACAGGATGAATATATTTTAAATGCTGGTCCTTTATGGGATGGAGCACAAATATCATCAGGTGGGGAACTCTTTGTCTTTCTCATTAACAAATGCCTCAACCAAGGGTAAAGACCTTTGCTGTCCTGATGAGCTACCTAATTCTGAGTAAGATTCACAAAATCAGTGTCATCATTTAAATTGCCTACACTTCATTTTCATGGCAATTTAATGGTCAATGGTTTTCATATTGTAGAGCCTTCCTCTGACATTATGTTCCTTATTTTACCCAAATATATTTTTTCTTATGTTGATGGATTAGCATTTGATCTGTTTTGACTTTGGACTCTGCTGGTTTCTACCTTTACATTGTCAGACACTTTTAAAAAGTGCTGCTGTATACAGTAAGTTCATTATTACTCATACTTGGAAAGGGAGGAGGAGGGAGTCATTTTTGCTGAGTTGATATTTCAACATTATGCATCAGACCATGAGCACATCTTGTCAACAATTGTTAACACCTAGGGTTATGTAATGTTTTGGATTACAGCAGGACTGTAACAGGACTGGAAACAAAATTCACCTGTGGCAGTTTTTTTTAACAGTTCTTGTATATGTGCTGCAGATTGGTAATGTATTGTAGAGTTCCAGTATGTTATTTTCCCCACTTCTGTGATTCTCTGATGTGTACGCCATTCATTTTTCATTTGTCTCTTTTGTTTCTTTTGTGCCCACACTGCAAACCAGTTTCCCCTAAGGGAAAATAAATCAATCAATTACCATGGCAAGTGTACTCAAATTTAAAAACACAGACAAACTGCACTCCATTTACCCTATTTTAATTTCCTGGGTGTCAGCTCTGCTGTCTACAACATTACCACCATAAACACATGAGACAAGGTAAAGATAGAGTTGGTAAAAGTGCACACTCTTTACTCAAGTAGAAGTACAGATACTGTGTAAAAAAAAAAACAAAAACCTCCAGTAAAAGTAGAAGCACTGTTTCAACTCCTTTACTCAAGTAAAAGTGATAAAGTACAGGCTTACTGAAACTTCAAATAGAGGGTCGAGTCACCCTTTCTTTTTGACATGTTATGGCTGTAATGCACGATATTCATCAGCCTTGATGTTGCGAAATATAATAATTATCAATTATTCACCTCAAATGCATTAAAACTAGAGTAACAAGCCTGTTTTGTAATTCAATGAGTAAAAGTAAAGAGTTGTCAGTAAAGTACAGATACCTGTAAAAAGTACTTAAGTACAGTAACAAAGTATTTGTACTTCGTTAATTACGATAATTAGTAAGCTCAACAGTATTTCATGCCATTAAGAACACATTTCCATAAAACTCTTTTCTCACTAGGGCTGTGTATATGCAAGAATCTGCCAATACCATACGTATACAGTGGTTACGATTATATATATTATCATACTCTAAGCAAGGCGAGCCACCATATGCATAACACCTGTGTTAAATAAATAAACATCATAGCCCCTCCCTTTACATTTTCACAACTACCTAGCGTATTGGGGTTTACACACAAAAAATCTATACAGCGTTTTTGAGAATCGATACAGTATCACAAAAGAAAATACCGTGATACTCAAGTGTATCGATATTTTCTGACGCCCCTACTTCTCACTGTCCTCCATCTACTTATATTTACGTTATTATTAGATTTACTAATAAAGATACAAATACAAAAGCTATTATGCCTTTCATTTTCCCATTTTGTTTTGTTAAGAGGTTGTTACTGGCCAATGTAAACTGTTAAAATGTTAAGTAATTGATTAAACAGCCTTAATAAATGAGATCTCAGGCACATCTCTTGAGGGAACAATAAAAACAAATAAACACTCTCATTCTTCTCTGAATATTACCCTGGCAGCCAGTTCATATTGTCAGAGTGGCACAAAACATTGTTTTGCCAGACTATTTAGTATTTCATAACTGTTCTTTGAATCTTTTCTAATTGAAATGTAATGATGAAACATGGGTTCCAGGGAAATGAAACATTTTCTACACACAGGCAATCTCAGCTGCTGGCTACAATATTACAAAAAAGCCATTTGGAAACTGCGAGTTATCCAAAGACACTTTGAGGATTCTTTTGTCGTTTAGGTCCCACATCCCTCGAGTTGCGCCTCTTTCTTTCTTTCCCTTCTCACTGGAAGGTACCAATTACCATGTAAGCTGAATGGGAAAAGGCAGTGGTGCCTGAATGAGGGTGCTGAAGAGGGGATGAAAATAAAACCAACTGTAGTTTCCTGGTGAGACGTGATTATGGGGTATGAAGATGTCTGAAGTTGAAAAGCTCCCACCTCCCGGCTGGCAAATGAGAGTGTAGTGTGAAACCTTTGGATTAGATACATGAACAGAAACACTGTGCTGCTACGGCAAGTCTCATGGTCTCTACTGATTTTTTAACTGTGATGGGTAATACAGCGGTGTATTTTTGAACTTGAAACAGAGCCAGGCTAGTTGTTTTTCCCTGAATACATATATAAAACGAGATTAATTAAACTATAAATCTTTATACTGATTACATCAAAAATGTTAAAACTAATTCAATTTTGTAAGGTAAACATTCTTGCTCAAGTAGCTCAAGTCACACTGACTTTATTGTGTAATTTTTATTAGTACTGTCAAAACAAAATATCTAGTATTAAGTACTTCATCAGGTTTCATTAACCTACAAAACTAAGTTAGTGTCTCAAAGATTAGTGTAAGCTGCTTCATCAAGAATCTTTGCTGTTTGTGTTACTTAAAATTGTCAATGTAATCCTTTTTTTTTTTACTTATTGCATTACAGTGTAGTCTTTATGCTAAGGTAGACTAACCATGTCTCGACTCCAACTTAATATGAACACCTAAACATGCAATTGATATTGATCCCTAATTTTCTAATTTCTGACCTGGCGGCGCCAGATGGCTCATTACACAGAACCATCTGGGCACTTTCATAAAATACTTGACAGGTGATTGGATAAACCATCTGTCTATCACTATCTACAACAACGAACCATATAACGTAGTGAAATCCGAAGCCAGTCGGGAGAAGAGAGAAATTTAAGCCAGAAACTGATATGGGTGTAAATATTTACATTTTAGCTTTAGAGACAAGAGAATGTTTAACAGAACAAGTTCACTTTATAGTTTCTATACTGGTATTTACAAGTATGGATCATTGCACATTTTACTCTTGGCTCAACCCTACAGAAAAACGTTCAGTTTCTTTGCTCTTTGTTTAAAAAAATTTAAACGATAAAATAGGATATAATATTATGCATTATATGAAGTGTATGCATATGGGGTGTGCATAAAATAAAATGTGTAGGATGTAGGTAAATATGATAAATAGTGCAAAAAACGTAGCTGTGATGGTGTAAGTGTTGGGTGAAAACAAACAGTGCTACATTATGTTATGCTGGTGTTAAAGAGTCTGACTACTGTTGGAATGAAGGACCTGTGGTAGCGCTCCTTCCTGCACTGTGGGTGCAACAGTCTGTTGCTGAAGGAGCTGTGAGGACCCCCACAGTCTCATGTAGGGGGAGAGAAAGGTTTTGTCCATGATTGACGTCAGCTTAGCTATCATCAAGCTCTCACCTACATCCTCTATGGAGTCTAGGGGGCAGTCCAGGACCTGAACTAGCCCTCTTAACCAGTTTATAGATTATATTATTCTCTGTGCTCCGCCTCCCCAACAGACTACTGCAGAGGATTGCAGATGCCAGAGGGTACAATACAACACATGTATTTACAATATTTCCTAGCGAGTTGAGAGTTGTTTTTCCATCACAAAGGCTAAGGTATTACAAGAATCTAGAAGACTGTACACCAAGTGGAAATCCATATAACATTAGATACGGTAGGCAATGACCAGTATAGACAAGAAAAAAACACTACACATTTTCCTGAGTTATCTCAATTAGTTCTCCTAGACCACAACAGCTTAAGTGTCTG